CCATAACATCGCTCCCACCCACATTTCATCAGGCAGTGTAATCTGCAGTGCCAGCTCTAAAATGCAAATCTTCTTGTGATGTAACTCATTTGGAATTTAATGCTGTTAGTAATTCATATCATATAGTAACAATAGCAACAGCCCAACACATATTATTTTCTGCTCAAACACTTCTAGGAATTTATATTGTGTACCAATGAGCTTATGACACATTAGGAAAGAATTAGCAGATAGCTGAGTGCAAGCTCGATGTAAAGACAAGAGTGGACACAGAAATAGGGAAGCTGTGGAACTTTCACCTTCATGTAAGCCGAGCAGCCGGACGTGTCCCATTTTTTATTTTAAGTGTTGTGAGAGGGGAAGAGTCCCACAGAGAGATAAAGTGTACTGATGTCATGTCATCCGCTCCATGACATGAATAGTGGTAAGAATAAAAATGGAAAAAAGAAACTACAGCAGGAGGGAAGCTGTAAAACGTTTTAACGTTGCTGAAATAGCAGGTGTGAGTTCCTCGTTTTGTCTTGTTGAAACGAGATAGCCGAGGAAGGAAACGTTAGAGAGAAAAGACTTTGCAGATGATGTGATTAGTTGGGTGTATAAGCGGGATGTTTCGGGTGAACGGACCTGTCACAGTCTCATGATTCAAAATTTTAAAGGTTTTCAAAGGGAACAATAACAGTATGAAGCAACCAAGTATAAAGCGCAGCTTCATTTTAACTTTCACTCAAATTGTTTGTTGCCATCACGTGCATGCTCACTGATTCTGCTGATGAGCAGTGCTTGCATGCTTTAGTATAAAACTAATTGTGTATTTACATTTCATTGACTTTTTTTTAGGTCTCAAATTGTTTATGCAAGACAGAAAAAGTTATATCTGTTTTCACTTTTCCTTTTATAATATGAATATGACACTGGTTGCAGTGATCTTCAGTACAAACACTTATACTCTACATTAACTTATTGCAAACTAATATCAAAGAGAGTGCATAGTAAGTGAAGTAAGAGAGAGGGTACCATGGCTGTGGCTAAAGGTAGGGGCATGGGGAGCACCAAAAACTGTATATAAAAGATGGATGTAGCCATTGTGAAATCACTCATTTGACAGTGAACAAATGTTGGGCTCTTTAGTCAAAAAAAGGAATGCATTACACATTCCTTTATTGCTCCCCGGAGGAAGTAAACTGTTAAACTACTCATCACTTAACTTTTCTGTTATTCTGTAACATCCTGAAATGCATCATCATCAGTTAGCAATATAAACTAAGGCTAAAGTTCCACATAATGACACAAATCCCTATTGTAACAGGCAAATACATACGATGCTTCTTTTAGAGTTTGAACGCAAAGCTGAAAACCAGGTCAAAGAGACTTTGAAGCGGTCGCCACTTCCACTTAAATTCTGCTATAGAAACGCGCAGGTACAAATTAAGGTTACAATGCTAAAAACCCGATTGTTCATTACTTCCTTTGTTACCAGTTGGCTATCACGGTCGGGTTGCTGGACTGCTGTCGGTGAACACTCAGCTTTAACGTTACTCTGGGTTCTTTGCTAGCTTTGTGTTAGCATGCCATCTTTGTCGATCCTTGCAATGAGCTGATGTTGTATTAGCAGCACAACACAACATCAGTTATTTTGCATTCAGCATTTAATGCTATTGCTACTTTTTGAACCTAGAATCAAAAATGTGGGGTGAATCTTTCTGAGGAAAACCACTTGGTTATTAGCTACCTGGCTCTAAAGCATACTCTGCTTTATTGGCATTTTTTTTACTGTAATAGGGTAAAAAGTTGCATTTAAGATGCGGCGATTGAGACAGTAAACCAATTAGAGGAGCATTTACTCAGTTCCCAGTGCAAGTGAGGTTAAGACCATTTGTCCTATATAATTGAAAAAGCCCTTTTGCAACTAGAGAAGTCAATGTCTACTGCCCACATTTAAGGCTCTTCCTCACCTGCTTTACTTTCCAGAGCAGAAGGCTACATCCATCTTTTCTTCCCTCCCAAAACTGTGTCATATTAAGAGTGGAAATTAAGAGTGGAAATTATGGGTGGGACACAGGGGAGCAGATCCCAGTATTGTCTTTGCCAGTGTGCTATTACAAATATAGCAACATAATATTCAATAATATGATCATTTACATTGAATGCTTTTGTGCTAATTACAGACGCAAAGCAATACCCTTTCAGTCCACAACCAAAGGCATTTTTTCTATTATATATAGTCTATGTGAAGGACTGAGGTCACACTGCTTTCAAAAAGCCACGTGATGATTTATGAATTATGGGATGTCAGACAGCAAACTAATGACCTTAGCCAGGTGTCCATCACTGTTATTTCAGGCTAAAACCTTAGAAACAGCTGATAATTTGTATATAATTGCACCACTAATATCTTCTTGTTTATTTACTACTTTTAAACAAAGTTCACTGATAAGAAATGTGCAGGTTAAAAAAGTTGTTAGCAAATGCAACTTCTCGTGTTCCTGATGAAGACCCACCCTTTAAACCTGCCGTAGGGTTTTGGGTGGATATCTGTCGCTCCCAGTTGAGACCAGTTGAGACTGGATGATAATCTGGGAAAAGGCTGGGGAAGATCTGGGGATTGGAGCCTGTGTTATGAGAAGAATGTCTGCTGCCTCACAAGCGTGACCCTGTGGTACATACAGTACAGACATGTAATGTAACGAATTGCCTCACTGTCAGACAGGTCAGGACAAGAATGAATACATCAGAGAGCAGCCCGACAGCAAGCCCTGTTTATAATTAAAATCCTTTTTTTAAAAATATGGGTTGTGTTTGTCAGATGGAAAATTTAGGACGTTTAGAAAAATAACACTCACATAGATATCCCACTGTGGGATGTGCTGGTTGTGTTAAAAATGTTAATATTTCCTGGTCCTAAAACTGAGATATAGATTTATGGTGTTTATGAATATTTATGAATAGAATCATAGAAACCAGTCACGTTTTGACTGTATGCAACAATTTCTTTTTTCTTTTTTTTACAAGAAAGAAAATGTTTGTTAACATATAACATGTGAAGTTCAAGGAGATTTTTTTTAATTTCCTTACATGGTGAAATATTACCACCTAGTGGTTGATGTTGGATATCCTCAACTTAATTTGTTTTTTCATAACAAAGCAGAACGCTATGTCTCTAAGTCTCAGAATTAAAATAAAATAAATAAAATAAAAATTAATTTATGTTTAATTTTCAAGTTTTGCGCTTAAAAAGATAAGCAGTTTGGATTTTTACCATATATAATTTTTTTTACTATATATCAATACGTTTCTTTCTTTCTTTCCTTAAAAAAAACAAAACAAAACAAACTTTATTAGCCATAAAAATGACTCCCAATCAAATGAAAGATTTTCAAATCTTTCTAGCTTTTCCGCAAAGGATATTGCAGAAAAGCTAAAGCATACCTGCCTGCTGAGACGCTCCTCAGCAGTGCTAATGGCCATTATTGCACATTATTGCACTATATGTGCAATATATGTAACTACTGTCCACTGTATTTAGCTTGAGCTCTCACCTGCGGAAGATTACATGCAGGTTCGTTTCGTTTCCCAATCTTTAGCTAAATGTTTGTCACTTTTGTTTCAAATAGAGAGCGCCGTTTAGCAAAAATATCTAAAAAAAAAAAAAAAAGTCTTTATTCAGTGTTTTTGTTGTTTCGGTTGTCACAGTTCTGCTGTAATGGAGGAGCTGTTGACTTGGTACTATTTTAAGTTATTTCGCCTAAAACATTAGCTACAGCTGGACAGTTCAGTTTTTTGCGAGAGACTTTGAATGGAAGCAGTGTGCTAGCTAGCTAGCTATTTATCTAAAACCAGTCGTTGTGTGTTCGCGTTTTCATCAATGATTGTACCTCAGCTGTGAGAATGAAATTTCATACATTTTTGAAATCTATGATATAATATTCCGGGAATGGTATATTTTATTAAATACTGTGGAATGAGAACGATGGACACCGTCCCTTCGATAGCTCAGTTGGTAGAGCGGAGGACTGTAGAGGCGAAAGCTGAAATCCTTAGGTCGCTGGTTCGAATCCGGCTCGAAGGAGACATGTTTTTTTTTTTTTTACTTCTCAGTAAATGTTTTGACATGCAGCCAGTCGTTTTTGTACTGTTTAATTTAAACGTGTGCTCATTCATCTTTCATTGACAGAGGAATGCGATCAGTTCAGTTGTTCAGCAAGATTACTGTGAAACTCCTAAGCCAAATTTAATGAACCTTGGTGGAGAGGTGGCGCACTGGAAAAGCAATAAAGCATTAATGCTTTAAAACTGCAAGGTGAGATTGCTGAGAATGCCTTTGTAATCGTCCATGCAATTAATGTTAGTATGCTATTATTCTGTAAGCTTCTTTCAGTTCTTGTCCTGCTAATCTGTCTCACCCCTGTGATAAGGCATACCCCACCTCTTACTGAAATGTGCCCCAGCTCTGCCTCACTCTGGCTGGTAAAGTAAGGAATGGAATGAGTGCATATATGTTAAACTGAATCTATAATTGTAGAGCTATAGCATTTTTTCTAACGTTGAACCGCCTCTGTGCATGTTAGATTTCTGCTCCTGTGCTGCTATCTTGTCCTGAGCTGTTTGTGCAACCTTTGAGTTTATTGACTGCAGACCTTCTGCTTTATTTTCCACAGGCTCTTCCTTTTGGCACCTCAAGGTGGTGGAGCAGCTGTCCAGCCGGGTAGGTGCTGTTTAACTGGGTAAGGAAGCTTCTGCCAACCTAACTTTGCTGAAGTTCAACACACACAAAGACAGGACAAATGTAGCGCCACCTCCAAACTAATTAGCATGTTATTCTCAGGGTATGCTGATGAGAGGCTGGAAATCACTGGCACATTTACTAATTTTGTGTTACTTCACTGAAAACGGTCAGGTTTGATTGATTTTTGAGATATATTTCTACAAATTTGCCTCTCTGTCCCTGATAATAGTATAAGGAACATTATTCACACAACATGACCTAAATGGATGAGAATAGGAACGCTTAAAAACTTTAATTATGTTAAGCTGGAAATATATTAATGACAATTAAATAGGATTTAAAATACATCAGCAAAATCACAGGTTGTGCTAAGATAATTATGACTTGAAAATTGTACAAGAAGAAATCATGTGACAATAAAGAGTCAATTAGGCACGTTTAAAAAGGGACAAAAAAGTTTAGATATAAACAAGTGGAATGTACATCAGGGTAAGGTGCAGTATACACAAGTTAAACCCAATTGACTATGTGCACGTTAGCATATGCTACTTCCGGTGCGGAAACTCCTGTGGGGAGCTTTGTTTCCGGTGTCCTATTCACGCCCTGTTTACGGTCCAAAACAAGTTAAGCAAATGAATGAATCAAGCGGCGATTTACATTTCTATAGATGTATTGGGCATTTACCCAATATATCTGTAAATGATGTTCATCGACTTGTCGATATTTTTTCCCTGTGCCTCAGAGCAAAAGAGAAAAGGGATTCAAATGTTATATTTCTCAGCTGTCCCTCGTTTATCGCGGGTGTTATGTTCTAAAAATAACCAGCGATAGGTGAAATCAAGTAGCCAATTTTATTTTTTGACGGTGCAAAACATTTCGTGGACATACAGTACTGCACTTCAGAGTCACACTGCTAGCGATCGATGCAGCGATTCTGTACTGTACAGGAGAGACGTCACGGAAGAGATCGTCTGCAGCGATCAGGACGCAGGACACAATGTGACGTAAAAAAGCATGCAAACTTGCACTAAAAAATCTGCGAAACAGTGAGGTGGAAGGTGAACCGTGTTATAGTGAGGGACCGCTGTAATTTTAAAGGTAAATCACAACATACCCTTCGTAAATGCTAATGTGTAGAAACCTTTACCAGCAATCATTCATTTTTTTCACGGTTTGTTAACATGCTGTGTAGGTGTGTACTTCACTACCTGATATCGACATAACGGGGGAAACATCTGGTTTGACTATTCTTCACCTGTAGTTTGAATGCTGAACATTTGCCTGTTTAAATCATAAGACCAGTCACTATACAGAGATGTGCTTCTGAATGTGGACGAGGTGTCTTCTGCTGCAGTGATGCAGTTCTGCTTGCGTTGAGTGATGTAAACAACTGATCGATCTAAACTCTTTAAACGTCAAAATTGATCATTAGATTTTTTATGACACAACAGTGGTGAGTGTTCCCACCTTCTGCTCTTTGTAACTTAACGCGATCTTTCCGTTTTCGAGTTTTGGACATGATTTTGTATATCTTCGCAGTAGCGATTGACCGCAAAGTAAAGCTACCGGAAATGTACAACCCCACATCCGGTCTCAAACCAGGAAGTTAGCATTTTCTCGTGCACAGGGTCAGTAGTTGCTTGAATAATATTCTGTATGTAGAATAGCCAGTTCATAAGCTCGTGAGAGAAGTCAGTGTGTACATTTAGTCTTCAAGGGACATAAGAATACAGCATCCTGAAATCACATCTCCTGAGGTTTGGGTGACTTTCTAACAATTCTTTAATGGGAATAGAAAATTCACAAATCCAACAAACTCAGATGCAAGAAAGAAAGAGCCTGCACACCGCTCTTATCAGTGAAGTGTCACAGTGACGCGTAAGGATCCGTTTCTCCCATTCTGCTCCAGTTGGTCTCAGATAATGGCCACACACTTTTGACTAACTGTGGTGTTGACCAAGATCACTGTGTAGGATCTTTGTTTTTTTTGTGACTGAAGTAATTGCCCAAAAAAAAAAAAAACTTGTTTGGCGTGTGCTTTCATTCGTGGCGAACACGCTTCCTGGGGGAGGCCGGAGAGTCCAGGGAAAAGGCAGTGGGAGAGACGGGGCGGGACTCGGGGATGTACTCTGTCTGGTACTTCTCAATGTAAGGTTTGGCCACATTCCACACCTGGATTGAAAATATAAGCACATTTAACGACATGCCACGTGGAGCACGTGCACTGAACAACTTTTTAGAACTTGCCTTTTGATCAAGTAGCAGGCGATGAACCGCTTCGATATCAGGCGACATGAATCTGTCTTTAATCCACGGTCTGTTTAACGGCAGGAGAGTAAAAGGAGAAAGTGGAACAACGGGTAAATATTAACTGTTAGGTATATAGTTTCAACAGGCTCAAAATTTTGTACCTTGGCCGCATCTGTTTGACTTACTTGACCACGCTGCGAACAAGTTCATAGACCTTCTCCAGTGGAGTGGTGGTACGGAGTGGGCGGAGGAACTCGATGCCCTGACATGCGGCCAGCAGCTCTATAGCAAGGACTGGTAACAGGAAGTATCAATTCAGTTTGGCCAAATCCCAAAAATATATCTCTCATTTTAGTGATAAATATTGAAAACATTAAATAACATAGATCACAGCCAATTGAAAGCCATCTATGGGTTTTTACTGCTGTTTGAGCCTTTAGTTTATTCCATGACTTACAAGAACTGTGGATTTTTTTCCTCAATATTTTTTCAAAAGACGGAGAAAAGAATTTTAAGCACAGAGATAAATTATATTTGATGATAGTTTAATCATTTATCTGTTTTTTAAAACCTGTTGGTTTAAGGTTAACCTCTGTATCCGCCCAGTAACCTGCGGTTTTGTCTTGTCGGTGTACACTGGCATGGTTTTCAGCAGCGGCCTTTGCACTTTTTGCAACAGAAGCAGCGGAAACTGACCGGTTAGTCTCCTTGATTCAGGGACGCTTGTTGTTTTCAAAGAGTTACAGTAAAAACAGTTGGTTATTTGTAAATCTGATAGTGGTAATGCAGCAGAACTATGGAACAGATTAATCATTTTACTCACTTATTTGTTGTCTGTATAGAGTTTTATTGGAATTTTAGGACTCCCCACCATAAATCTATTGATTATTATACATAATCACAGAATCACGTTGTTAGGAACACCTGCTCAGTTGCTCGTTAGCACAAATGTCTAATCACCCAGTCACATGTTAGCAACTCAGTGCATTTAGGCATGAGACATGATCAAGACAGCCAACTGAAGTTCAAACTGAGCATCTGAATGTGGAAGAAGGATGATTTAAGTGAACGTGGCATGGTTGTTGGCACCAGATGGACTGTCCCAAGTATTTCAGAAACCGCTAATCTACTGGGGATTTTCCCAAATAATCATCTCTAGGGTTTAGAAAGAATTTTCCAAAAAATATCCAGTGAGTGGCAGTTCTCTGGGTGAAAATGCCTTCTTAATGCCAAAGATCACAGTAGAGTGACCAGACTGCTTTGAGCTGATACGAAGGAAACTGTAACTCAAATACTGTTGCTACTCATTAGAAACACAACAAATCACACTTTAAAGCAGATGGCCTACATTAACAGAAGACCACTCAGGTGCCATCTATGTCAGCTAACAACAGGAAACTAAGGGTACAGTTTTCACAAGGAAAAAAAAACTTGGACCACATAAAACTGGAAAAATGTTGCCTGGTCTGATGAGTCTTGATTTCTACTGCAAACGTTAGATCCTTATCACTGGTAGGGTCAGATTTTGGCATAAACAACATGAAACCGTGGATCCATCCTGCCTTTTATCAACAGCTCAGGGTTGTGGTGATGGAGTGGTGCAGGGAACGTTTTTTGGTGCACTTTGAACCATTTCATACCAACTGAGCATTGTTTAAACACCAAATCTTACATATTGTTCATCTTTTAAATGCTTCTTACATCAGAAGATAGACACAAAGCTCAGATAATCTCAAAGTGGCTTCTTAGACATGACAGTGAATTTGCTTCACAGTCACCAGATTTAAATCCAACAGAGCACATTTGGGATGTGATGGAGCAGGAGATTTACGTGATGGATGTGGAGACAAATCGGCAGCGCCTGTCATGATAGTATGAGGAATGTTTCCAGCTCCTTGATGAATCTGTGGCACAAAGAATTAAGCCAACCCAGTACTTGTGAGGTGTACATAATTTAACAATGCTATACCTTACCTTGCTCCACATGCTCTATTACCCTCAGGGCCTTCCTAGCAGCCCATCCTCCCATAGACACGTGGTCCTCTGTGGCAGCACTAGTAGACAAAGAGTCCACAGACGATGGGTGACACAAAACTTTGTTTTCTGAAACTGAACAGCGTGAAAGAGTTTAGATTAATGTCAATGCTCAAATATTGGGTAAGAAGAAAAGAAAATAACCCCTACAAATTTGTAACATTAGATCTTTTATTAAAAAATGCACTCTGAAGTGTAATATTCAATATCAAAGCCTGTTTAGTAAATAATGTTATCATAATCTCATTGAAATTGGAATAATTTAGTAGGAGATTATATGTTACTTCATATTTTTCACACAAACCTAAGGCGGCTGCAGTGCAGTGGGCAATCATGAAGCCTGAGTTGAGTCCACCCTCGTTGACGAGGAAGGCAGGCAGCTCACTCAGAGAGGGGTTACACAACCTCTCGATCCTCCTTTCGCTGATTGAAGCCAGCTCGTGGACTGCAATGGCTAAAAAATCCAGAGCCTATGAGAAAGAAAACAGTTGTTTAAGAAAGAAGAATCAAATCTAAAGCGAACCGAAACAAACTATCTTATTACTACATACCTTAGCTGGGTATTCCCCATGGAAATTCCCACCTGAAATGGTCTCACCTCTTTCTGCAAATACCATCTGGTGAGACCGTTAAGACAAAATTAACTGATTTCCAGTAAAATCCTGTGTGCAGTTTGTGGCAGATCCAACTTCAGTTATCAGACTTGAGACCAAACTGGCTAAATTTCATAGATCAGTCTTTTCCTCTAGTTTGAAAGACAGAAAAGGATACAGGGTTGTCAGTGGCACTGTTGATTTCTGTGTTGATGATATTCTGGACAAATGCAATTGTGTCATTGGCAATTCCATGAACCTGCGAGCAGAGAGAGGACACAATACTCAGAAAGAGATGTACGATGCTCAAACATAGTTTTGCTGCAGCTCCATATCTGCTTTCTATGTGGTAGACCCACTATCTATCATGTGAGAAGTTTTCCCTTTCCCATCTAGAAGCTGCAGAAGCTTTAAAACGCTGTGGGAGAAACCTGTGATTTGGGGATTTATAAATAAACTTGGGGTTACCTGAGGACAGCACCGCATGGTGTAAGCATCCTGGACTCTGTCACAGAACCTGTGGCTCTCTGTAAGAACACACCAGAACAATATGACACTCATTAAACACAGCATATTTAAGGCTGCATGATATTAGAAGGCTATACTCCATTAATGCCTGTCGGCAAATGCACCCCCAGTAACTCATGCATCTCATCTTGAGGTGGTGCAACTCTGAAACCACTGCCAGTGGTAAGAGCATTTGTAATATGCAAACAAGTTTTCGGGAGGAGGAAGGCACACAAATGTAAAATGCAATGATCAGAACTTTACATGAATACTGTTTGATGTTCATCAAACCTGCAATCTGGGATGGGTGGTGATCAGAGTCCAACAGTGAGCGGAAGCGTTGAGCCACCTCTATTTGCCCCGGATGTGGCCGCAGTGCATGGATGTCTGTGGGAAGAGACCAGGAATTGAATAAGGATGGATGACATGTAGTGCAGTTATACAATTGGAGGTAAATAATTTCATCTAGTTTCTGGTTTTCTTCGGGTTTATAGCTTCTGCGCACCACTGTCAAAGGCCTTGGTGGTTCCCTTTAGCACCTCCAGGGTGAGAGCAGCAATAATATCTGCCTGCTGGGCAATCGCCTGGGCTCGCTCCACGGCCTCTGCCCCTAGAGAGGTAATCATCTGTGTCCCATTGATCAGAGCCAGACCCTGTTAGGGAATCCCAGAGATTGAGATGGGTGTACAACCCCAATTGCAAAAGAAGAAAAAATTTGAGTAGGTGTGTAAAATGTAAATATAAACAAAACGCAGGGATTTTGCAAAGATAATTTTTTTAAGGATTTTTTTACAGTGTCATTATTTTTACAAGTTAACCCTCATATTACCTTTTATTTTGCTAAAATTATTTTAATTCCATATATTTGGCCTAATATGTATTTTATTGTATATTTATGATGCGAATGCAGTTTATACTTCAAAATCTGTTATCAGTGAACTCTGGGTCAAATCACAACAGTGCAGACAAATCAAATAGATGAGCTTTTCTTTTTTTTGAACATTACCTCTTTAGGTTTTAGTGATATTGGCTTTAGTCCATGTGCCTCCAGGACCTGGTCAGGAATGAAAGATGAAAAACATGTAAAAAGTCCAGGGTCATCAGAAAGCAAACAATGTTTCCATTTGCACCCTGAAACCTTTCACTCTTGTAAACAAGAGACACGTTTTCCTACGATAGTAGTTGCCCTCTTGTTTTACAACTCCAGAAAAGTCACTCTGAGCTTACGTATTTGGCATCAGCCCACCCGCTCGTGGGAGACCACATTTTTCCCTCTCCCATGAGTCCGAGGGCCAGGTGAGAGAGGGGTGCCAGGTCACCACTAGCACCTACTGTTCCCTTTTCAGGGACAAAGGAGAGGCAGGAGGCTGAGGGGACAAAGTTATAGAGACAAAAGTAAGTCCTATGACAGCTGTCCTACCCCTGTCCTTAAATAAAGTTATCCACAGTTTACTGAAGCTGATATCTCACATCAGCTAACTGGTTTGAAGCTTACCGTTAAAGGCCTGGATCATGGCCTGGAGGGTTTCAAGAGAAACACCACTGTGCCCTTTGGCCAAAACATTGATCCTCAAAGCGAGCAACATGCGGGTCCTCTCTGGGCTTAACGGGTTCCCCACACCTATGCGTCACAGCATAACTCTGATTAAGATGATTGACGTACAGAGGGCCTGAAAACATTAAAATCAACATATCTGCGTCACAAAGAGTGTCATCACCTGCTGAGTGTGAGCGCACCAAGTTTTCCTGGAGCTCCCTGTGGAACGAAAAGTGCATGGCATCAGTCAACAAACAAAAAGGGCTCTGTGTGGGTGATTACAAAGACCAGAAATAGATCGTAAAATGTATTTAAGGACAACTTAAAAACTCTACTTGAGTTTGCTGACAGGAATGACAGTTCGGGCAAATTTGCCAAAACCCGTTGTGATCCCATAGACAACTGCAGGGAGAACACACATAGGGAACTGAACACACAAAGTCTCCTATTTTTCCAGATACTGTAATTTAGCCAGTTTAAATTAAGCTCATTTGCACTGAATCACTGTATTTTAACCTTTGTTTTCTTTGACAATGGTGTCCAAAAGCTCTCTGGATTGCACAACCTTTCTTTCTGCCTCAGGAGTCAGCTAAAAAACAATGATAAAGGGAGACATTGGATCAAGTAAAAGATTACAACGGAGCAGTTACGGACAACAAAAGAGGTTTGTTGATCATTACCTTTATCTTGTAGAGTCCTCTGCCTAAGTTGATGAGATCTGTTGACGTCAGGCTGTTGCCATCCAAAGAAATATACTGGACAGAGAGTTTCACGTTTCACGGAGTTAGTTAATATGATATGAATATGTTTTCAATTTTATCGGAAAATACACTTACCTCTTCAGGCTCTTTGTATGCTGCCGTGCTAGTTGACAAACTTAATTAAGGATAACATTTGGCAAAATGTAGTGTCACTCTCAGATTAATTATAATTTCCCACAAGGACAATTTTAACCCGAAATTAAAACAGTATGTGAAGAAAAAATGGCATTAAAAAAAGATTGAATCGTTTTTAGTGCACACTACAGCACCTACTACAGCTGCTATGGCACAAATATCCAACAAGTTTAAGGATACAGATGAGAAACTCCCGGTTCACACGGAATAAAGTCAGGAGACATGGTATCTCCTTCAATAGCTGAAATGCACAGGAAAATAAATCACAATGTGTGCATCCCCCCCTTGGTTCACACAGTAGTTATATTTAAAGTAAATTACTTATTATACACAATTACGCATCACTGAAGCAGAGTTAAAGGTAAACCATCGTCACCGTCTTTTAAATGTGTTGCACACATTTTTAATATATGCATTCTTCGTGTAGAAAGTTATTACCAAGCTCGACAAAGTCGTTATCCTCCAGTACATCTTCGATGGTGTCATCCGCGTCCAGCAGACCCAAACCCTGGCACCTGCGCACAACAAAACGAGTGTCTTTCACAGCCGTGATGCCGCCGTTGTCCGGTTTGTTCTTTATGTAACGTTTAAGCGCTTCCTGTCCGAGCCACTGGATGGTTTTGGAAGTGTCCCGGCAGGGCACTGCCAGCCACTCATCTCGAATGTGTACAGTAAAACGAGGCATCGCGCATCAGCGGGACTTGGCTGCAGTGAGTCCTGCGCGCCGCTCTCTGAGGTACCACTCTGGGCCGTTTACAGTTCGGCCACCAATAACACGCAGCTGGGGGAGCCACGCCTCCCCAGCATCACACCTCTAGAGATCATTGACCCACACGGACCGGTCTCAGTCTCACAAGTGCTTCCAATCCAATCGATGCGTTCACGTGATGTTTGAAAGTGCTCAAGTGTCTATAGAGGCTAAACACAGTGAATTAGATTAGAGGTCACCAGAGGAGTATGGGGCACGGTTTGTAAAGTGAAACATGCTGAAATTAACATCAACATTTTTCCACATTTAGCTCAAAACCTTACAAAAACATGTTTTTTCGAGTCATTTTTTTTTTTACAACATTTAGTAAAATATTTGTAACTTTTCATATTTAAAACACAATTTTAAATGTTAAATCTAAATATTAAATTTAAATTTAAATGTTAAATCTAAATATTATATTTAAATCTAAATGTTAAATCTAAATATATTTAAATCTAACTGTTAAATTTAAATATTATATTTAAATCTAAATGTTAAATTTAAATGTTAAATCTAAATGTTACAGGAAAGTAAATATTTAGCTAACATGCAAATCTATTGTACGGGTCAACGGAAATACCAAAATATAAGCTTTACGAAAACCTCCGGTGCAAAATTGTGTAAGGAGCTTGGAAAGAAAAGCGTCTGGACTTCTTGCTTGAAGACGTTTCACCTCTCATCTGAGAAGCTTCTTCAGTTCTAAGAGTCAAATGGTGGAGAGTCCCAGATATAAACCCAGTGGGAGTATCCACCCAAAGAGGGACAAAGGACCCCCTGATGATCCTCTACCTAATCACATGAGCCAAGGTGTGAAAGCGGGTGTGGGTCACAATCAGCCAGGGTTTCGGGTGAGCTCATTGTGAAACCTGGCCCCACCCTATCATGTGATTTCCTGAGGTCAGATGGCCCAGGATGTGAGTGGGCGTTAAGGTGTCTGGGAAGGGATCTCAAAACTGGATTATAGATGACAGACAGCTGGCGTCGTAAACCACCGCCTCTGTTCAAAGATGGTCGCTCACAGTGGACGTAAATGGCTTCTTTCACTCCTCTTTCAAACCATCTGTCCTCTCTGTTCAAAATGTGAACGTTGGCATCTTCGAAAGAGTGACCTTTGTCCTTTAGATGCAGATGAATCCCTGAGCAAAGACCACAACATCACTATATTACCAGCTGATAAGGGAAGGTGCACCGTGGTCCTAAACACAACGGATTACCACACAAAGATCACTACTCTCCTCAGTGACAACAATACCTACGAAGCCTTAAAGCGAGACCCCACAAGCAGCTACAAAAAGAAAGTTATAGCTTGCCTTCAAGACCTTGAAAGGGACAAAATCATTGACCGCCTTACATATCACCGCCTTTACCCAGGGGATGCCATACCCTGCATTTACGGACTTCCTAAGATCCACAAGGAAGGTGTCCCACTCAGACCCATTGTCAGTAGCATAAACTCAGCCACTTACAATATCTCGAAACACCTTGCTACCATCCTAGCACCTCTTGTGGGGAACACCCCACATCACATCAAGAACTCCACCAACTTCACCGACAAGGTCCAGAAACTTACCCTGGACCCAGATGAAACCATGGTGTCCTTTGATGTAGTCTCCCTCTTCACTTGCATACCCACCACGGAGGCAGTGGAGACTGTCAGAAAACGACTACAAGAAGACAGCTCCTTGGAGGACAGGACCAACTTCACACCCGATCAGATTTGCACACTGTTAGACCTCTGCCTCACCACTACATATTTCAAATACAACGAGAGTTTCTACAGACAAAAACATGGCTGTGCCATGGGTTCCCCCTTGTCACCTATTGTAGCCAACCTTTACATGGAGGAAGTGGAAAGGAAGGCTCTTGGCTCTTTTAAAGGGAGAGTACCCAGCCACTGGTACAGATATGTAGACGACACCTGGGTCAAAATCAAAAGACAAGAAGTGGAATCCTTCACTGCGCACATTAACGCTGTGGATAAAAACATCAAGTTCACCAGGGAAGACACAAAGGACGACTGTTTGCCTTTCCTGGACTGCGCTGTGCACATTGAAGAGAATGGCAACCTCAACATTGAAGTTTACCGGAAGCCCACACACACGGACCAGTACCTCCTCTTTGACTCCCATCACCCTCTGGAACACAAACTTGGAGTAATTAGGACCCTACACCACCGGGCAGAACATGTTCCCTCTAAGCCTGAAGGGAAAAAGAAGGAACACACACATGTAAAGGAAGCACTCAAAACATGCGGTTATCCTAATTGGGCGTTTATAAAGTCAGCAAAGAGGCACAGAAAAGAAGATCAGACACCAGCGAGGGAGGATAAGAAAGACAGACGCAACAACATTGTCATCCCCTATGTAGCCGGTGTATCAGAGAAACTCAGGAGAGTTTTCTCCAAGCACGACATCCCGGTGTATTTCAGACCCAGCAACACGCTCAGACAAAAACTGGTTCACCCGAAAGACAAAACTCCAAAACACAAACTTAACAATGTGGTGTATGCTGTACAGTGCAGCGAGGAATGCCCAGACCTCTACATTGGAGAGACCAAACAGCCACTTCACAAGCGCATGGCACAACACAGAAGAGCCACCTCCACAGGACAAGACTCAGCAGTCCATCTGCATCTTAAGGATAAAGGACACTCTTTCGAGGATGCCAATGTTCACATTTTGGACAGAGAGGACAGATGGTTTGAAAGAGGAGTGAAAGAAGCCATCTATGTCCACTGTGAGCGACCATCTTTGAACAGAGGCGGTGGTTTACGACACCAACTGTCTGCCATCTATAATCCAGTTTTGAGATCCCTTCCCAGACGCCTTAACGCCCACTCACATCCTGGGCCATCTGACCTCAGGAAATCACATGATAGGGTGGGGCCAGGTTTCACAATGAGCTCACCCGAAACCCTGGCTGATTGTGACCCACACCCGCTTTCACACCTTGGCTCATGTGATTAGGTAGAGGATCATCAGGGGGTCCTTTGTCCCTCTTTGGGGGGAAACTCCCACTGGGTTTAAATCTGGGACTCTCCACCATTTGACCCTAGAACTGAAGAAGCTTCTCGGATGAGAGGTGAAACGTCTTCAAGCAACTCAAAGAAGTCCAGACGCTTTTCTTTCCAAGCTCCTTAGACTACGATGACCTGGATGACTGAGAACCTTCACAGACATACTCCGGTGCAAAAGTGTGCCGGTAGTGGTCAGATTGTGTCTGCTCTCCCATGATGGTCACTTCTCACCGCCATGAGCTGCTTCACTTCTTGCCTACCAGCATGTCCAGCGATTTGGCTGGACATGTGCTGCAGCGATTGTGAAGTGGAGCCTGCAGCTGCCGAGAGTCCACTACTGCTGAACCTTTGGATGGCCAACAAAAGGGATCTTCCGATGTTTTCAGCTAAATCGCTGGACGTGCTGGTAGACAAGAAGTGAAGCAGCTCATGGCGGTGAGAAGTGACCATCAGGGGAGAGCAGACACAATCTGACCACTACCGGCACACTTTTGCACCGAAGGTTTTCGTAAAGCTTTTATTTTTTGTATTTCCGTTGAGCCGTACATTAAATTTGCATGTTAGCTAAATATTCAGTTCTCTGTAACATTTAAATTTAACATGTAGAATATAATATTTAGATTTAACATTTAGATTTAGATTTAAATATAATACTTAGATTTAACATTTACCATTTAGAGTTAAATATAATATTTAGATTTAACATTTAACATTTAGATTTAACATTTGGATTTAACATTTGGATTTAGATTTAAATTTAATATTTAGATTTAACATTTAAAATTGTGTTTTAAATATGAAAAGTTACAAATATTTTACCAAATGTTGTAAAAAAAAAATGACTCGAACAAACATGTTTTTGTAAGGTTTTGAGCTAAATGTGGAAAAATGTTGCCGTTAAATTCAGCATGTTTCACTTTACAAACGGCGCCCCATAGTGGAGAGGTAGACTTTTTTTTTAAACTTAAAGTGTAATAGTGCAATCAGTGATGGTTTAACACTGAGATCAAGTTTTTAGCTGCTTCATTTTATGACATGCTCAGTTCTTAGAGCGCAGTCACAGATTAAAGGAATTAAAGCAGAACCTTTGTACCCTGCTGCCTTCACTTGTTAGATATTAAAAGAGGTGTTCAGTGCCATAGCAGCCAGACAGCTAATCAGCTACTGAATAAAATGCCAGCTATATCTTCACAAGTTCTTTCACATTACAACAAAACCTCACAATTTAATGTAATTGGATTCAGTTCTTGCAAAAACGGACACTCTAATGCAGGCTGTAACCTCTGCTTTACTTTTTCAACAGTTATTAGACCAACAATTATTTCTCCTTTTTTCTATGGGAGTCAAAAAGACCACTTATCTACAAGGCCAAGCTTCAAGTGGCAGCAGCTCAATATGTCGAGAGGTCAAAATCATTTTAACTTAATGTATTTAATTTCAAACTGATGCAACACCATCAATATCCAGTAGCTCCGAAAGTTGCTATAAGTTTGCAAGGATCAACTACATGCAATGATAAACCTCAGGAGCCCTGTAAAAGTACTTAAAAATGATTACAGGAGCCACATCAGTACATCAGTCAGATTTTTTTTCTGTCTTTCATCACAAAGCAAACACAAATAAACAACCATCCAGGCTTTTAGGAAAACATTATTACCAACAAACATTTATTGCACAGTCAGATTTAATCAGTGCAGTGTAATTGGTTTAAAGGTACAAAGGACAGTCTTTTTTTTTTAAAATTTAATAGGAAAAAGAATATTGTAGTTGTAGATATACACTGATTAATGGGTAATTGCATGATTAATGGGTAATTGCATCTTCCAACAAAGGGATCTTAAACTTAGAATTAATCCACTAAAAATCCACAGGCGCATGGACGGCTTGTAAACTGCCATGTTGCTACACCATCTTGAATCCAGTGGTTGAGATGGACATTACCATTCTGCCTAATTGTGTTTTATGTCTGTGGCTGGAGACATAGTGCGCCAAAGGCCGAGGACAGTCAGCAGAGTAGACATGCGACACTCCACTCTCAGGTTAAACAACCTCATCATTTTAAGATAATGTTAGGCCTTAACAAAAATCACACTTTCCCACACTCTAAGGAGTTTAAGCAGTTCAGACTGATATGAGGCTATGTGAAATGTAAAAGCATCACAAGTACATTTCAGTGATAAAGATATTTAACTGTATTTAAATTTGTCAAACATAAATAAACCCCCAAAACAGTGTTTCACAACTTGCTTGGCTTTTAGACAGAAAACCTGTCTCACTGTCAGACCTCCTCCGCCTCATTGTGCACTGCATCAGCAGAGACACGCTAATGCTGACTGAGATCACAATGCTATATTTATTTGTGGTGAGGATAATTGGGTTTGCAGATGACTCAAAGCGCAAAGTTTCCTAGTACAAACATGCAGGATGCCTTTTCTTTGTGCTCTCGAAGTGCTCCAGGAACTGGTCATTCTAAACTGGCAGTAGGTGCGGATGTGAGTGTGTGTGCGGTGCCTCTCGTCCTCTGACAGCTGGGATAGACTCCAGCCTCCTTCTAAGCCCCAGGTTGAGTGTTTGAGGTCATGGATGGTTAATTGTGTTTGCCTTAAGAGGTCCGGTGAACACATAATTCACATTTTAGAAGTTAAAAAAAGACCTATTACGGAAGATAAAACACTCATCAGTGTCTGAGACATTGTCGCTTCGCTGAATAGTGTTATAATGCGTGTCACTCAGTAGTCTCTTCTTAAAATTAGGAGGCTCATGTCCCATGCATCTTCCAAAATATACACATATGCATTCCTGCTTCGTTTCCTTTTTGTTGCACAGGTTCCAATTTTGCCTTTTCTATCTGTTTCTGAAATCAAATAACCAGAAATATGTCTAAAATGTATGAGTTCCAAATGATGTGATGTAAAAAGAAAGTGTGTCCCTATTCAGATGCAAATATAGTCAATTATAATGCGGTGTATCAGCAAGGCATATTCAGCAGTATTGATTGGGGGAGGACTTCTGGCCTGCTAACGAGGCGTGCCTGAACGCATCACAGTCTGCAGACCGATGATGTCAGTTTACGATGTAGGAGTCTCTGCATCACCATGTGTGCCGACACAGTATAGGCCTACTGCTGACCGTCAGCGGGCAAGCAGTGGAGAAAGAGGAGGGGAGGAAAAGTGTGTTTACACAGACGGCAAACTGCCTGGGGAATCGTAGGGGAGAGGAAGTCAGCCGGCTCTGTGTCTGCCTGCTCCAACTTCCTGCTCAGAAAAAGAAAAAGCACAGGATCCTATTTCAGTCCAGCACAACTCCTGTAGACCAGAAGTAAGCATGGAAAAACAAGGAATCACACAAGCGTCGCCGTAAACTTTTTCGGAGGGACCAGACCGAGCCGGAGATCGCAGGTAAGGTCAAAAATAAGCGGGCGTCTTTCCGTGAACAGCGCTTTGTTGCCTGATTGGTGGCTTGTGTGTGTGTGAGAGAGAAATAACGCATGCCGAGTCGGGCGAGCGGCCGTAATTGCGTTTCAGTTAATTGTCTTGGCTGTAAACACGTTTGGTTTTTTGTTTTCTGCTTCAGCTTAAAGTCTTGAGGTCGAGCTGGTTTCTAAGTTTCTACACACGAATGGCACAGATTTGGGGTCAGACAGAAATGTATCGTCTTCCGGTGCGAGCAACATCTTGAAAATGAGTCAGTGGGGCAGTGTAGTGATTCAGACCTCCGTGCGTAAAAGTGAGTGTAACTTTGCAACTGAGCAAAGAAAAAGAAAAGGGAGAGGCAAATGAAAAAGCAGTGGAAAAAAACAACAACAGAAAAATAGCCTCAGAGTCATTAAAACCTGTTTTCAGATGCTTTTTTTCTTGCGGGTCCCCCTGTTGAATTTTCCACCGCCAGTGAACAGGAAGAGAGCAGATTTAGTCATGGCTAAGTAATGTCTGCATACACCATCTAATCTCATTAGGAGTTTCCGTTCAGCCAACACACTGGATGGCTTTGTGCACACGCGAGACTTCTCGGGGCGAGCATCCCGCAACAGGGCTCGTCGTGCCCCGACCAAAACCACCACAATATCCCCAGATATTCTTAGAAAGACTCCTAGCACTATTTCATTTGCGGTTCTCACAGTGACTTGTTGCCTCGCTGCAGAGCTGAGATGTGGGCTTTTTAATTTCTGTTTTGCTAGGTTTAACTTTCTGTTGTTTTTTCCTGTAGTGGGTAGTTGTACTATATTTAATAGGTTATACTCTATGAAGCTACTACTGAGGTCTGACCTGCTGCAGCAGCAGCATGCTTAGAGCATCTCGCAAAGCGGAATTTTCAAAGTCACACTGTCCTAAATTGCAGATCTGCCTGCTCAGTGGCCCCTCGGCTGCAAGCTGAAAGCTTTACTTTCTAAAGTCGAATTGAAGGCTGGGTGTAGAGTGGGTTAACGGGTGGAGCTGTGAAAAAGGGGACAATGACGTGCTCTTTTGACCCTTATCCCTCTGGGAATTTTGTGGGAAGTGTGGCAGGATCAGGGAAGCACTCCCCTGCTGTGGGATCCCCTCTCCTTGCCATTTGTCCTTGGAAGTAGAATAGGAGGAAGTCCTGACTTTGACAGGTTTGTAGTTTCACATGGCAGATAGAAAACTCAGGGGATGGCTTGTGTCGGAAATTAGTTCAGCCCTCTCTCTCTCTCTGCCCGTCCTTTCTGGACAAAGATAAGCAGCGGTTGAAAAGCTTCTCCATAATCTCAGCTTTCTTTAGTGGCTTGTCATTTCAATTTCATTCATATAGCACCAAATCACAACAGCAGTCATCTCAAGATGCTTTATATTGTAAAGTACAGAGCGAAACCCCCAACAAACAAACCACCCCATTTGAACAAGCACTTGGCGACAGTGGGGAGGAAAAACTCCCTTTTAGCAGGAACAAACCTCCGGCACAACCAGGCTCAGGTAAGGACAGCCATCTCCCGTGACCGGTCGGGGGGTGATGGGAGGAAGACACGATAATGAAATGAGAGCACAGTCCTTTCCATCAGTATTCAGACTGTATTATGTCAAAGGTCTGCTGTAATCATTTCCAAAAAAGAAGCTTTACATCATTCAGAGTTATTTGCTGCATACTGGACTCCTCTGTTCATTCTCCACCTAAAACAAGCCATTTAACCTCCTTGTGGTTTTTTTTTAACTTTAACTTTCTTCTTCTTTCTTGGCTTCTTCGCACAAACAAAAGATTTGAACTTGAGTTGGGTGAAAGTTCTGTTTTAATAGTTAGACCTTCATGACATCACAAAGAACCAACAACACTTTCGTCTCAGAGTTTTTTGTTTTTTTACGGAAGCTAATCTCATTCTTTGAAATTTTGGCCAAAAAAAAAAAAAATCCAAATCATGTAAACGAGAGTAGCGATATAAACATGAGTGAGATTAAAACTAACGTACTGAAAATCATTCGTCATCAATCACATAAAAATAAATAAATAAATAAAAATGGCCACCAGTTTCTCACATATTATCAGATAAACGCACTATTCAGAGTGACACAACTACCGAGAATAGCAGCGCATCACCTTACAGTAAAATTCTGGCCTTTGTTACTTGAACTATGACTTAACACATCATCTGCTTTATTGTCAGTTTCTTAGTAGTCATGTGATTTAATTTTTGTATTTTGAAATCAAGCAGTCATTCGAGCTCCGCTCTCGTCAGAGCTGTGGGGACAGAAACCCCCACTGCCGTTACTAGCATATGAGCTCCTAGCAGGCAGGCAGGCAGACAGGAGCTCCGAGGCTGCACATTCCTCTATTAAAGGAATAACCCACCCCGGGCCCGTCGTACTTCCTCTGGAGAGAGGGCCAGGTTGAACCGCAGCATATTTCTGGCTTGAGCTGTTGTTAGCCCCCCCCCTCCCTTATTTTTTTCTCTCCTGTGGCTCCTGCTGCTGTTACATTACACTACACTCTTGACACACACTGTTCTATTCATTGGCGGTCTGCTCTTTCTTGCACCACATGTTGGAGCTCAAACAGATCGGCCCCTCTTTAGCCAGTAACTTAATTTAGTCTGTGTGCAATAAAACACAGTGGCAAGGCAGAACTGAGAAGGGGCGGGGGGGATAAAGGGATTATATTTAGATGAAATGTTGGGTTGTTTTGTTATAAACAAGTTATAAATGGACCTAAAGTAAAGTGTAAAGAGGGACTTGCCTTGTTTCCCTCCAAAGGTTTAATTTGTGTGCTTATTCTGTCACTGTGGCACCAGGCAGGTGTTACACACGCCAGTAATTTAGGTGCTTTTTCAGTAACGGCTCGCATCTGTTAGCATGTTTGGTGCTACTCTCCACACGCTGACCTAATCATTTGTGCGTCTCGCTGCAGGAATGGACAGTGCCATCACTCTGTGGCAGTTCTTGCTGCAGCTGCTGCTCGATCAGAGTCACAAGCACTTGATATGCTGGACGTCCACAGACGGCGAGTTCAAGCTCCTCAAGTCGGAGGAAGTGGCCAAGCTGTGGGGGCTGCGCAAGAACAAGACCAACATGAACTACGACAAGCTGAGCAGAGCCCTGCGCTACTACTACGACAAGGTTAATTAAAGTGATTCTAGTTGCCTCTCCATAATAGCACAGCTAATCGTGTGACCGCAGCTGCTGTGATAGGTTAGCCGGGAGAGGAGTGTGACGCCACGACACATTCTCTGTTCTTCCCTTTAAACTCACAAAATCCCCTGATAGACACTTCTGCTTCCTCTTTCTTGTAAAGCGCACACACAGATCTGACTGTGATGTAACAAAGCACTACTTTAGTATGGCCCCAAACACTCCTCTGATATTCTATGTGTGTACCTGGTTTGTTTTTCATAATGACCTTATCGCGGTGAATTGTGTTTGCATGTTTTGCAGAACATCATCAAGAAGGTGATTGGCCAGAAGTTTGTTTATAAGTTTGTGTCCTTCCCTGAGATCCTTAAGATGGACCCGCAGGCGGTGGAGATGGGTCTGGCTTCGGGAAGGCTTCCCCTTCAAGAACAAGAGGCCCAGGAGCTGGAAGTGGAGGAGGAGGAGGAGGAAGCTGAGGAGGAGGCCCAGAGGAGGACCCTGGCAGCCTTGGGGGCACAGCAGTGTCGGAATGACTACCTCCACTCGGGTCTCTACTCGTCATTCAGCATCAGCTCCCTGCAGAAGCAGCCCGAACTCCTCCGTGCCCTGCAGGAGCGTCAGGAGGAGCAGCGCTCCGTCATCCGCTTCGGCACCAATGCCAACGAGAGGAGCTCTCCTCCCTCAGCCAAGCCCGAGTCCTATGTCTCACCGGGGCCATCTAAACTCGCCTCTCATTCCCCCTCCCCGTCCTCTCCTCACACTCAGCGCGGCCGGAGCCCCGCTGCTGAGGAGGAGGAGCAGGAGGACTCTGACCAAAGTGCTCAACCCCTCAATCTGTCCTCCGGGCACAGAGGGCGAGCCCTGCAGCCTCCTGAAAAGAGGAGCAGCAGCGGCGGTGGCAGAAGCAGTTCTCTTAACAGTAGCGCTAACCACGGAGATGGACTCCCCCCAAAAAGCAAAAAGCCTAAAGCTCTGGAGATTTCAGCGCCGCCCCTGCTGCTGGCAGGGAGCGACATCGGCTCCATCGCACTCAACAGCCCGGCGCTGCCGTCTGGGTCACTCACTCCGGCCTTCTTCACTGCACAGGTGAGCTGAGCAGCAGAACTCTACAGATGCTACAATGACACCAGTTCCTCCCTCATTTCTAGACATGAGTCATATGTTGAGTCTCAACTGTGATTATGTGAGCACTTTGAGGACTAGTGACTCATTCATTGAGTGTCAAGGTGCTTTCCAGCATTTTGCCATCACATTGGATTAAATACGATTTGATCCCTAATTTAAGATCTAACACTTCACTCACACCTAGGATTGCACTCTTCATCTTGCTACAACTTTCCCTTCTCACGAGCACTCAGTCGCTCCCTTTTTTCCCCTCTTTGTGATTTAACACAAACCCAGTAATCTCACTCCCTGCCAGACCACAGCTGAACGATACAGAGTCTGATAATAATCAATCTCAGAAAGACGATATTTCTGCCCGTGATGCCATCAGTGCCGTCCCCCCTGAGCGGTACTGTGGCTGATGATTGAACACCAGAGTATGACATCAGCGTCCCCAAAGCCCCTTATAGCACTTTCTATATTTAGTCGTGCCTTCAAAAAAGGTTTTTGCGCAGTTTAAAACATCATTAAAATATTTGTGCGATGTTTAGACCAAGTGCCGCATTTCTGTGTGGCAGTAATGTTTTGCTTTCGTCTGCCTGTGGAGCCATTGTTTTTTCTTTTGGTTTTTTTTTTTCAAATTTTATTTTCTGCCACAAGTTTAGAGCCAAATTCATCGAGCTGTAACATTTTGGGATTATACCAAAAGATCATAATGGCCCACGGCTCCGGCACAAGCACCAACTTGAGTTTCATCATCTAATTTAGTTAATCGCGTGTTTGTACTGGAATTGTTACAAAGAGAGAGAAAAAACGAGCGCCACATCAGAGAGGGGTTCGTCCACGCGTCGAGGAAGACTTCGGAGCTACGCTCACACCGCCCGCTGACAAGGGCTGCGTACGATGAGATCAGAGGAGAGCGAGCGATTTACGCAAATCTTCGGTGAGTCCAACCTGCGAGAGGAGGGGAAGAGGCCCTAAGCGATGCCATATGCTCCAATAATTCCGTTAATACTCGAGCAGCAGGGCTGGGTCCCCTCGCAACACTGGCTCACTTCTCTGAGGTGACACAGGGGAAAGTAGGGGAGGGGGGGGGGAGAAGACTAGGGGAGACGGAAGGAGGGAGGGAGGGAGAAATTGATTTCATATGTTTTCTCTCTAGTTCCAAGTGCTTGACGACCACTGCCCCCCCCAAATCAACAACAGCCCCCCTCCCCTCCTCCTCACATCACCCCTGTATTCGGGAGTAGAAACCACAGACTTCCTTCCTGCTTCGTCAGTTTGTTTTTCCAAACGCTGATACATGTCCGTTCACCCTTTTTCAGCATGTTGTGCATTAGCAAAACCCTCAGAGCAACATTCTCAATCCGCTGTGAGTTTTGTTTTTTGTTTTTAATTTTGTCCCCACTAGTTTCTCTCATTTATATAAAGCCTCCCTCCCTGTGTGTTTTCCCCCCACCCATCAGACTCCCTCGGGTTTGCTGCTGGCTCACAGTCCGCTGTTGTCAGGCATCCACTTCTGGAGCAGCCTGAGCCCAGTCGCTCCGCTCAGCCCCGCCCGGCTGCAGGGCCACAGCTCCCTCTTTCAGGTAAGAAACACATACAGGTGTAGCGGAAGACAGAGGGACAAAAATAGCAGGAGATGAGAATAGAGGGTGTACTCAAAGGATTATTTACTGGTAGCGCTTTAAGCAGAGGAGGAAGTTGGAGAGGCTGCTGGGGCCAAATTAGTGCTTCTGCAAAAGCCTCATTGTTTCCAGCGGTTGATAAAAGAAAAGAGAGCAGAAGACCAGGGCAGGAAAAGCTTTTAGAGAGGGCGATTATGTGAGCTAGGTGAACCAAACTTTTTATTAAATGATTTCTAATGCTGCCCAAATGTTATGCAAGTATTTACCTAACAGGAAGCAAGAAAACTTTTTGTGTGTGTGTGAGTGTTATTTGCAAAGCAGCAGTCACAAAGGGTTGTGAAACTAGTTGAGACTCAGTAAGCAGGTCCTGCAGAGGTGTCCTGTTTCAGAGCTTGTGAGAGGGAGAGGAAATCCTGTGAATACTTCCTGTTTGAGCCCAGGGGAGCCAGTCTGAACAGGGTGGACTGGTTTGAGAGCTGCTCCTCATTTATGAAACACACACACACACACATTATACCGGATTCATTGTGCGTAAATAAGACGACTTCTGTTGTAGAGTTGGAGGGGAGAGAGACAAGAAGGAAGCGGCACAATGAATTAAAAAAACAAAAAACAAAACAGGAAACCAGAGCAGTGACAATGCAACAGTTCCTTACCGGAAAGCGGTTTTCATAGAGACTCCATCCCCTCCCCACTAACTCTGTCCCTTTCTCTTCCTCTGCAGTTCCCCAGCCTAATCAACGGACACATGCCTGTCCCCCTGCCAAACCTGGAAGGAACACCCTCCTCCCTGCTCCTGTCTCCCACCACTCACAAATCCTGATCCAGGATCTGTGGAAAATGCCGCAAATTCATTGTTCTCTTGTTGAAAGTTTCTCATCATCATAATAATCATCAGCAGCAGCAGCGATCTCTTATTCATGATGTCAGATTTTGTCTCAGAAAAGCAGAGACAGTTATGTGACCTCACCTTTTTTTTCTCTTTTATTTTTGCACTTGACTTGCTTCAGATTCTGAGTGGTTGAAAGCACTTGGTAAAAGCCATACGCCACGATGTCTCAGAGACATCTGGCCTCTTTATGATAAAGAACAGCACGTTTCTACACTAGCCTGTCCGCGACGGACAGAAGCGCAGCTGCGAAAGGCTAACCAGCCGCTCAGCCTGCGCAGAGCCTGGTTCTTTTAATCTTTAGAAAAAAGAAAAGAAAAAAAGAAACAAGTCTACTTGTTAACAATGTGAAACTGATCGTTTCACTTAACGTGGTATTGTATGTAACGTATGCACTATGCTTCTCAGATAGTACCGGCTGTGCCTTGTTGTCCTGTTTTTGTTTTCACTTTATTTCAAAATCTTTTAATGAAGACGAGATTTCAAATGAATGAAAACCTTGTAACACTTACGTTCTTGTTTTTGTTTGTTTTTTTATACTGGACTTGGTAATACAATATGTATTCTGTATATTTTTTTTTTGTATTGTGAAGAATGTCATTTTCAATAAACAAAGCATTGAATGCTTAAGCAGAGTTGAAACTTTGTAGAGCAGCTGAAACAAACAAAAAAAAAAACAAACACTTTTGGTTTTAAACCTTTAGATTTAATTTTTCTTTACTCTGGAAAAAAAAACTGAAATATGGGAGGGCATCTGCAATGAAATCCCACACCAACAAAAATTATTCACAAATAAAGAATATCATACAAAACATGTCTTGTAACACTGTTAAATAAGGGCAGGACTATAGCTAACGCTTCCTGAATTAGGGGTTCGGTGGCTGTTGTGTGCTTCCTCATAGAAAAGAGCAGGCATGCACCACAATGACAGAGGAGAAAAAAAAAGATCTACTTTTATAGATGAGGGAGATGGGAATGGCAGACAGGCAAACCATGGGCAATGCACAAACAGGGCACTGCAGATTCCAACAGTGGGAGCTCATTTTTGCAGCTCCTCTTTGTAAGAGTGGAGAAAGAACGAGGACAGGAGGGTGATCAGTGTATTTCGTAGGTGTAACTATTCCTGTAATGCCCTAGTTGACAATCTGTGTTGCTCTTTCCCTCCTCTCTCTCCTGCATTTGTTCATTGGTCACATCAGAGACCGGAGCATCCCTGGAATGATATGCCAGCAAGTTGTTTGTTTTAAATGCACAGATCTACCAAGTTTTGTGTGCAAAAACATAATAATGTCAACAACAACAACAACAAAAAAGAAATCTCACATTAATCTCCGGCTGGGATAAAATGATTAGTTATTATATCAAAGCTGGCCTCAGAAAAACCTTCAGAGTAAATGGTCACATGTGATTTGTGCAGCTGAGTACAGCACCATGGCAACAGAGACAAGAATATGAAACCCCTTTGAGCTGCTACAGAAACCTCCCTCCGTCTGTGTGCCTCACACACCCACACGTCGTCCAGGAGCTTCGAGGTGGAGTTTTAATGTATGAAAATGGAAACGACGACCAATAAAAAAAAAAAAAAGACAAAAAAAATATATCACCCACTTCAAAAAAATCTATACACATTGCATGTTCTCATTAAAGTGACTGAGCCTGTTAGAATTCTAGACAGTAGTTGGATTTAGCAGCAAATTCACTTGTCAATAAATATAGATGTACAGTGTACAAATGTCTCTCTGGAGCCAGTTTCAGACTAAACTTGGGACGGGGTCAGACCGTGGAAAGCCCCCCCACCTCGCCAAAAAAAAAAAAAAAAAAAAAAATTCTGGAGGGGGACTGAAGGTGACTACGACATTCCACGCCAACTCTCATCTCCGCGTTCTGATCCAGCGGCAAGACTGTACAGCCAGTATATCGTTCCCAAATAACTGTATCCAGTCCAGAGATTTTAAAACAGCATGCTTTGTCTTCTGCTTTTTCCATTGCCTGATGGGAAACAGAAAAATAAAGTCTTTAAATATCGATTCAGCTATTTTAAATGACAGAAATCTGCATTTTCCAACTATTCCGGGCTATGTGATAAGCAAATTGGAGTAAATCAATCCAAATAACAAGGTTAAAAAGTAACTTACTTATCACAGTGACTGCTATTTACCCTGTTCAGTGGGTTTGCCCACGAAAGAATAAACAATGGTATACACATTTCATTTTTAAATATCACCGTTATCGTGACATCTCTGCTTTGGTTGTATAAATCGCCAGGTTCCAGGTGCTCTGCGGTCATAAACAGGAAGTGTAATGTGGGCTACAACTTGAGCCTTCGTTAGCCTGTATGTGTTCACATTTCATGATCCTTCATAGATCTTTGCACTAGTTGTTTACAGTGTACAATTTTTACAAATACAGTGGTTTGGTTTTTTAATTTACATGTGAGCATCAGTCTTTGAAGGACAGCATGAAATTTCAGGAAGTAGAATGTAACAAAATTTACAAGCACATGTTTAATTATACATGTGGCACTATGGCGGTTTAATATAGTTAATCCTCATAATGAGTTTATGCAGATTGTGGCAATTATGTTAAAGTATCTCAGCTTCCTCCATGAGCTGTGTCTATTTGGCCAATTGAGTGGGCCGTACTACAAAAACCTACGCTTGCACTTGTCTCTTTTCGCTCACTCAGTTTCTGTGCTTCCCACTTCCCCTCTTCTCGATTCTTTATTCCTCACCTGATTCGGGGTATGAGGAGTTCCGATAGCCGGGATCTCTCTGCAGCTGCACCTCCTTCAGTGTGAATATGGATACGGCTGCCAAAGACACAGTCAGTCAGTGCAACAGAAGAAGAAGACGTGCCGGGTGAACAGTGTTTCTGTTACAAGGCTGTAAGTGATCCTCTCTGTACACTGCAATACCCTTCAAGTTGTACTGAGCGGATGGTGCCAAGTCTGCATTACTGCATCACCGTTTCATTACTCACTCTCTGGCAGCGTGTGCACACGTGGCCCCAGGCTCCTGAAGTATGGCTGCCTCATTGCTTCATCAGCAGAGATCCTCTTCTTCGATTCATACTGAAATTTAGGGCAACAAAAGTTTCAGCCATTAAAGAACAACAAAAGAACTGGGTCAGCAGCCTGCGGTCGCATGCGAATGTGTTGGCACGCCTTCGTGCGCTTCTTTCCAAATACACAGTCCTGACATAGCTGCGAAATGTGTCACATGTTTTTAGCGTCTCTTTAATTCCTGGCAGATATGGCGAGACTTACCTTTAGGAATGACATCAGCAGGTCGATTCCATCATTGTCCAACCTGTATGTGTGGGGGAGGGGTGGGACAAGAGTTTGGAGGTGGAAAAAAGAAGAGGAGGGATGGGGGGGGGGTCAGTAAAGGTGGGCTGACTCATGGATAGAGGCGAGTGTTAAGGAAGTCAAACAGAGTCAACTATTCCACAGGATTTCCTTACAGGAAATGATAAAGAGCACACGCTCCTAACTACACAAACCTCCAACACTCATGTCTAACTAAAAGCTAAAACAGCTCTGCTTACAAGCTCTCCTCTTATATTTGTGTCACAAGAAACACTTTTCCACCTCCAGTCATCAGACAACCAGGCAAGAGAGGTGAATGGAGGGGTAACGGTAAGGTTTATATAACTGCTCCATAAATACCTGAAACAACCAGCAGCAACACAGCCTAAGCTGGGACATGTTGCATCTGGTGTAGAAGTAAAGTTATTAAGATAAAATGAGAGAAAAAAGTATCAGGCTTACCTGGGGGCATGATTAATGAGGGACTGTGCCTTGTACTTGTGGAACTTGTAGGACTTGAACTCATCAATGGAGGATATTCCAGGCCAGCTGTCTTCTGTAGGAGTGCCTGTGGAGGGACATTTAATAGACCTTGTTAGAGCCCGCGTCAGCTGGATGGGGCTTTTTCATGGAGCCGCGGAGGGGGGACATGCCAGGGTTAATGCGATTAAAGGCTCTGGTTAAAAGTCTGAACGCTCCTCTGTCAGCAGAGGGCAGCACTCACCTAGCAGCCTGAAGATGAGGTGCAGCTCATCCTCCACTGTGGAGCCCGGGAACAGCGGCCTGCCTGCAGCCATCTCATAGAATATACAGCCCACACCCCTGACAGAATGACACAAACAGGTGGGAAAGGTCACAAAGATGCGTCTGACTGAAGCTTAAACAGCAGCCTGACTCAACAGGTGTTCCATCTCTAAACCAACCCTGATGTTTCTCTCAATTGGAGATCGGAGAAACCATTTACAGCTGCATTGTCTTAACAGCGAGGCTGTGTCCATCAGCAGCAAAGTCTCTTTACACCCGCGCGCTAATAAGGGCGCAAACTAAACGAAATGAGCTCCAGACACCTGTGCCCGTTCCACAAATCACTGAAGTGGCAATTTCACGACAGAAAACCAATCTGAGAGGATCGCATCGGCCTGCGCCGTCGCTGTGCAGCCATACGGAAATAAGAGAGTAACCACGAGCATCGTTAGCGTTTCCTAATAGTTGCAATCCCCCCCGTCGAGCGAGGCCCACTCACCACATGTCGATCTGTGTGGAGTACTCGGAGGAGCCGAGCAGCACGTCGGGGGGCCGATACCAAAGAGTTACCACCTCGTTAGAGTACGTTTTAGTGGGCACAGACTTCGCCCTCGCCAGGCCTGTGGAGCAGAAATATGGACATATTGGAAAAATGTCATGAAATTCATACAAAGGAAGCTATTTAGAATACTCCAAATATTCATCAGTTTAAAAAAAAATAGCTCTGTAGAAACATTTTAATGTAATGTATTGATTTTTTACCAAAGTCAGCCAGTTTTAGTTCTCCTCTGTCATTGATGAGCAGATTTTGGGGCTTCAGGTCTCTGTGGAGAACTTTCCGCCTGTGACAGTAGGCTAAGCCTCGCAGGATCTGGAAGAGGAAAATCTAAAGGAAGAGATTTTCTCGATCAGTACATATGATCGTGTTGATAAAGTTATTATAAAATAGTGGTGATCGAGCCTTGCTGCGTGTGGGAAGTTGGAGGCCAATCACTCACACACATTTTGGTCATGTGCCAAAATACGACGCGCTGATACGAGATCACCAACAGTACTGAGGTCTTGTATTTCTGTCTACTTAATGAGGATGTGGTTAACAAAAAAAAAAAAACGACTGGTAACTGAAATTACTGTTAGCCAGGAAGAAAACAATTAGAAAAAAATTGACAAAAACCAGAATCACCAGGCCTCAAACGATGGATCCGCACCATCAGTATTATCTATGCGATGGAACAGGTGACCTTTAGCCTAAGCTCGCTTTACTTAAAAGTGCGAGAATTCATAATACATCAAGTAAAATTATATGGACCCAAATATATATGTATGCTTAGTTGGGGTTGTTTTTTTTCTGTCCATGAATTAAAAACTCTAAAATAAAGAGTTAAAAAAAACAGTGGTGTTCAGCAAAGTAATATATTGCAGATGCACAATCATGAATGAAATTCTTTAATTAAATACTCTAAAAACAGGGATGTTTAAAGAAGGTTGCAGCAGCCCATTTTACTTATCCCCTTGGGTCTACACTTCTCCACCAGGGGGCACACTGACAATGCTTCTTGCACCCACACCAGCAGCTACAAACTCTTGACAGGTGATGAAGGTCCTCAGGCCAGCAGGCAGCCAGCGGAGTCTCACCTTGACATTCTGCATGCTCAGGATGTTCCCACAGTCATCCATGTACTGCTTAAGGTCTTTGTCCTAGAAGAGACGAAGGGCGTTAGAGCGGGGACGCTACAGGCACACAAACTGCAACAGTTGGTAAGCCTTCATACTCCGCACAGAGTCATGAATAATAATAACGTCAAATATTTTAATCTAAGCATCCCTGCAGAGAACATCGTGAGTCATGCAGGAGGGAGGCTGCAGAGGTTTTGCTGGTCTCACCAGGTATTCAAACACCAGTGTGAGCGACTTGTCTGTGTGGACGATGTCGTGCAGCGTCACGATGTTGCCGTGCTTCAGGTCCTTCAGTAGAGACACTAAGAACACACGCAGAAAAAAAGAAGAAGAAGAAGAAGACAGCTGTTACAGCGAGGGTGTGATTACACTCAGCTTATTTTCTATTCTCTCAAAGTAACATTAACCAACATTTGCTTTACTTCTTGCTCTGATGCCTCTGTGTTCACGCTGATTAAGCCAAGAGAGGTTTATTTATAAATCCTTCAATCTTACAAAAATGTCTGAGACTTACAAAGAAAGCTTATCTGGCTCAAATTAATCAACAAAGTCTCAAAACAAGAGTGTGCTGCCAACACCGCTCTCCATATAAGGTCAAATAAAACTTGCAAAATAAAAGAAGAAAATGCCTCCAGTTCAACCCCAGTGAAGGATCCATATAGACTCTGAAAGATGACAAACTCAACGTTTTTTTGTGAAACGTGCTAAACCTGGTGATGAAGAAACTTGAATAAATACATTTATCCATCTAAAAAAACACAAAGCACCGTCAGTGAGCGCAAACTGAATTTACTCAAGCTGCCAGAAGATGACACTGAAATACAGTGCTTTGCAAAACTCTTAAGCCACAGCTCATTTCTTTACATTTGGTAGGAAACTGGGAAATAGGTGCAACGATTTATTAAAAGCATAAATGGAAATGAAGCGTATAAGGCATAAAGAAAGTTTGTAGAATTGTAAGTAATCTTCAGGAAACGTTCTTTCTGAAAGACATCCAAAGCTCTTCTTTGGATGTTGGCTGCCTTGTATTCAATTCTTTGTCAATGCTTGAATAAAGCCGAGGTCAGTCTGTGACTAAGTGTCGCGTTGTGTGATTTTCTGTCCAGGTATGCTTTCACTGCACTGGCAGAAACAAACACTGCCAGTCAGGCACTGCACGATCAAAATCGGACTTTATTTGCATTCGTAATTTCACCAATTTTGACAAGATCTCCAACATCGCTGTCTGAAACGCAGCCCTGATTCATGGCAGCGTCTCCAGTGTGTTTTACAGATGGTTGCAGACACTCCTGACCTTCTCTGTACATACTGACAACGACTTGAACCAAAAATGTCAAATTTGGTTTCATCACTTCGTAAGACGTGTAAGTCAGTGATTTTCAGTTCACTTCTTGTGTAATGTGGCATGCCACAGCATTTTCTCACTATTCTTCTTCTTGACAAATAGCTTCTTGATAGCTCTCCCTCCACTGAGACCACGTCTGATGAGGCTTCAGCAAACAACAAGCAGGGCCAGATGCATCTCTCAGGTCATGTGACAGGTCTTTGCTGGACTGTTTTCCTATTTCTTAAGGATATGACTTCAAAATTGAGTTCATCTGTTGTAGACACATTTTATTTAGGTCTATCACTTCGTTTGTCAATCACTTGTGCAGTTTCCTCAAATTTGTTTTAATCATACTGCACACCACATAAAGAGTTTTAGGCTAATAGCTCTTTGGGGAATCACCTTGTTGGTGCTAAAATATTATTTCAAGCATGTTAAACTCTGTAATCTTTAGCTAATATCTAAGTGTAACTAAGTGGATAAAGATACGATTTAAAATCAGTCCTCGCTAAGTTGTCTGTTATGTGCAGACTCGGCTTGTGTAAAAATTCCACAAAATTCCAAATCTACCAGTGTCTGCTCGTGCTGGGATATATTTACAAACCTGACCACCTACAGGCACGACCTGTATGTTTGTATTTGAGGTTGTTTTCTAGGAGCATTTATTCTAAAATCTGCTTTTCTATTTCAGTTAACTAAGTTGTTTTTTGCACTCCATCTTGCTGCAGATGTTCAAACGTCACTGTTCAACGTAAAACAAATCAGCTTATATAAGTAAAAAAAGTTCAAGCACTTATATTTGACTGCTTGGTGACCAAATAGCGTTCTGTGGCTAAAATCTTTTGTACCTTCTCGGATAGCCGTGCACGGTGCTCCTTCTTCATGCTCCAGTCTGATCTCTTTCAGCGCCACGAGGTTGTCTGTCAGCTTACTCCGCCCCTTGTACACAGTAGCATACGTGCCCTATACAGCAGGAAAAGAAGGGGGGGTTCAGTGTTTCAGGTTAAAAGTAAACTCTACAACTGTGCCTGTGTGCACTTTAATCACTCACTATGAGAACGTTTGCACCTGGGGTGATAAAGAAAGGCTTTCAAGGTAAACTGTGCCACATACCTCCCCCAGTTTGTCCAGTTTGATGTAGGTCTCCAGCTTCCCAAATCCAATTTCTGACTGGAGGGAAGAAAAGGACAAACAGCATTAATGAGGGTAGTGTCTTTATTAGCAGTGACAGGCTTACACACACCAGGACAAATCCTCATGATGGCCTTGCAGCATCACAGAGTGGGGCGTGGGGGGTGGGGGTCACACAACCAAACCAGCATCCCGACTAATTGCTTGTGACAAAGACCCGATGGCTTTTTACAACGTGTCTATGGGCGAGTCGAACAAACAACATGTTTTCATTTATATTTTTGAGCTAAATATATAATAAAAAAATAGCTAGTTTCAGTTTCTCTAATATTTGGATTTTTCTCCGTTTCTTATGTGTGCTAAGAAAAATATTTGAGGTTGTGAAGAAATCCCATACGGTTGTGTCGTTTTACATCACATTTTACTACTCTCATCATTTAATATACCAAGGATTGGTTGATCAATTGACCCAATATTCTCCACGATAAATAATAACTGAAACAATCATTACTTCCACGCATAATAAATCACTAAACGCTTCACAACTATTCAGTTATAATCAGAACACACACAAACTACTTAATAACTGAGCTATAACTGTCACTGCTGCAAGCCAGCATCTTCACAAGGCTTAAACAGACCTGTGCACTGGATAAAGACCAGCGCCAGAAAAGCTGAGAGGTCTGACAGCCAATCATCTGAGCAAATCCAGTCAGTGCTTTTGAAAAAACTCTGCAAAGGGGTGTGTATGCAAATAAAGTTGGGCCTGGGCGAGGCCGAGTGTTACTTACTCCTCTGTTCTGCTTTTGACAGATGCACAGGACAATCGTTCAGGCTCGTGACAAAAATGAGTGCTGAGAGGATGAGCTCTGATCGGCTGAGGATAAGGTGTGAACTCTGACGCTCTCACTTCTGTTTCTTGCTGCATTTAAATAAAACATTACCCTCAGAGCTATCTTTATCCATGTGCAGCCACTTCCTGACTCTTGCTCTGCTTCCATTTCTCTCATTCTGGTCCACCCCTGATTCTCAAATTAGCACTCTTCACTGTCGCTTTTGCCAAAAGAAAGAATTTAGTTTTTAATGTTATTACAGTTTTATCTGCAAAATGCTATATGATGAACCCTGAAGCAAATATGGCTCTGCCTTTTAGAATTTACTACTAAAAACTCCCAATAATGTAAAAATCAATAAGCAGATCTTTAATGATCTGTGACACAGAATGTTGTACTTACAAAACTGACACACTGCTAACACCAACAACATTAATTAATGAATACTTTTGGGGAAATTAATTATTTATTGAGTTTATGGTGTCGTGGTTATTCGGGTGACATGAAGAGATCACTTATTCAAGACCCATCCTCAAGGGGTCATGAGCTAGTGTGATCACTGTGGCAGGATGGCCACTGAAGCTGCGGTTATGGTTGATGCACTCGCTATACAACAGATATGCAGTCATCAGCTGCTTTTGTTAGGTACACATGGTCAACTGAATGTTATCTATTAAGCCAATCACATATCAGCAATTCAGTGCATGCAGACATGTACAGGATGACTTGTTGAAGATCAAACTAAGCATCAAAAGGGGAAATAAAGGTGATTTAAATGACTCTGAATGTGGTTGTTGGTGCCCGATGGGCAGGTCTGAGGTACGAAGAAGCGCACAACAAGTGGAACCTTGAAGCAGACCGGCAGCAGCAGCAGAAGACCGCACCAGGTCAGCTAAGAACAGAACACTGAGACTACAATTTTCATTAAATGGCCAAGAAAAGTTGTAAAAACCTCGCCTGGTCTAATGAGTCTCAACTGTTGCTCTGACATTTGGATGGTGGTGTCAGAATTTGGTGCAAAAACATTAAAGCGTGGATCAATTCTACCTTGTGTCAAAAGTTCAGTTTGTGCCACAGTCACTGGATATCTAATAGATCACCTTAACGTAATGGAAAAGGGAGATTTGTATCATGGATGTAGCTGACAAATCTGCAGACATGCTATCATGATGTGATGCTATCATGTCAATATGGACCAATGCCTCTGAGGAATGTTTCCAGCACCTTGTTTAATCAGTGCCACAAACAATTAAGGTAGTTCTGAAGGCAAAAGAGGGCCAAACCCTGTACTAGATGTACCCAATAAAGTGGTTGGTGAGTGTATACTCACACTTCAGGTGTGCTTGTCTTACCTTCTCCTGTTTGCCTAAATGATGGATTCTGCAGAGCATGTAATCATTTCCAAGTGCAGCCGTTGCTCTCTGTGCCATATGGAAATGCACTGCATTGATGTGGCTTCGAAAAGCTCACAGGGTTTGTGCCTCCAGCCCAACCTCACCGCCCACGATGTGCCCGACAGGTTACAAAACTTGGGAGATGCACAACAAGCCAGTAGTTGTGCCATCACTTCTGGCTTGCACCACACACAAGGACGACTACAGCAAGAATAAACCTGCCTTCCAGTGAACCACACAGGGAATTTCTCTGTGTTTCCATCTTGGCCCAGATTCCTGGGCTTGCAATGACTTTGATGACTAAATAAATGAACTAAATGCACATTTTACTTTTAACTATTTTGTCGTAATTTTTCTCAACCAAATTCCAAAAATAAGGAGAGTATATTAGCCAATGATGTGACCCCTGCAAGTCCAGCTTCAAGGTGAAGGACATGTGCAATAGGCCGACTTCCTGTTTACAGTATCACTCTGCACTTGTCTCCTCTCTGACAACTTGCAATTGTCTCCCTTGTCTTTTCAGCACCTTCTCTCTTACTTCTTCCCCTCTAATCCCTCTTGTTCTTCTCACCAGTGATGCTCTGCGGGAGCGTCGGCTCAGCGGCTGGTCGAAGGGTGGGCTGCTCATTTGAAACTTCTCCAGGTAACCGTCAGGTATCCGGATGTCAGCTGGCAGGGACAAACGTTTGTTCAGGTCCTACACAAAAACAAGAAAACTCAATTAAAAAAAAAAAAAAAAAAGTCGGTATATCAACCTGAATGAATAAACAAACAAACCCTTAGCAAACAACATAATCTCTGAATAAATACCTCTGATTGGATACAAAATGGCAGAAACCCAAAGTAAACAAGCAGAATCTGTGGGTGTACTTTAGGCCTCACCGGTTAACAGAGAAGCCAGTGTGGTACGTGCGTGTGTAGCCACACAGTGACAGTTTTAGACTTGTGTTCATGGTAAAGGCCGTATGTGGAGCCCTTAAGAGTTCAGGGTAAGTCTTTTTAAAGAAGTAAAACAAGCACACAAAGCATGATTCTAATGATTCTTTATATAAAAATCCCTCAAACACACATAATACAATCAAACAGTTAAAATCTAACACCTGGATTCTTCCCATCATGCATTTCCTCTATTTGTTAGATTACTATTAATCCCACGTTTCTCTCTGTAAATCTACTTCCACTCCCTCTGAGGTAACACCGGACACCCCACTGCTTCCTCCCTCCATCTTAGCCAACACGCACAGAAAAGCAAAACGCAACCTCAACCTTTTTCAAATTTCAACACAAGTTCAGAGACAAGCTCATAAACCCGTAAACTGAAATTGACCGACTTCTGGAAGGATTGGTGACTTTCAGCCTTTGCGTTAAACTGTGACTGTGAGTCAGCTTTCTGCTCTGTGGTTGTTAACAGCAAACACATTTAGCCATGTGATCAGCTTCCAGGAAGTGTAGTCTTCATTAAAACTTGGAGCAAGTTGACATCCTGGTGCAGATTCGGCATCTCTATTGTTTTGTGTGCGTACAAACTAAATACAAACTCATAAAAACATTCATTTCAAGGCAATAAAGAGGTTTGCTTATTGTTTTAGCTTTAACTGTTCACAAAAACATTTTTAAGTAAAGACACCACAGCTCTGGATTCTCAAAAAGAGAAAACAAAAGCACTCTGCACATATCAACATAACAGGAACTCTGCTTGTCTTTATTTGTTTAAGAATATACATTAGATTTCGCTCTGCTGCTCTGTGGTTTCAGTGTGCAGGGCCAGGATTGGTGGCTTGTCCTAAGAGTAAGTGATGCCGTCCATCGCTTGACCTTTGCAACCCCTCCACCCCCCTCCAGTTTGTCCAATCAACTCGTCCTAATCTGTTACAACAGGGGCCCATCTGGACCGTATTACAGTAATCCTTGTGATGTAATCCCAAAATGGCACTGCTTCCACTGCAGTCCGAGGAGAACAATCTGCTACCTGACCAGCCCAAAGGGACGTCCTCGCTCCTCCTCCTATTTTTTTTCTGCTCTGCCGTCCCTTCTCCAAGTGTCACAGTGGCACAGAGGGGACAACGAACAAGGCCGCACACTGATTTCACTGTTGGATCACTTCATCAACAACAAGCCTGCAGTCAATCACTCTGTTCATTCAAACAGTACACTGGATTTGCTGGGCTGACAGAAGCTGCAAGTAGAACTGTGAGCGTGTCCAAAAAACTAAAAACTTTATCTGGCTGTGAAACAGTCACAGGAAGTGTGAGGTGTACTGCTTGCAGACACGCTCAAAAAAAAGCAGCAAGAGGTGATGTATCATCTCTCTGTGTGGGCAGCCTCAAATGCAGCTTAACTAAACCCCAAGCATTTTTCCCCTCTACTCGTGCAGGTTTGCATGCTTGGTTTGTCTGTGCAGATGCTGCTATCTGCTTGTAAACTCCCACAGGGGTTGCAATCAAAGCAACCAATAAACAGAAGGAGGGAAGTGTGTGTTGTTCAATCAGAACTTTTCCTTCCACCCAGCAGCTAGTGTGAAAACATGTGGTTCAGTGGCATCAACTGTACCTATAAAAACACAAGACTATAAGGAAGTCCTTTTCCTTACAGTTTCTTTTTTTCCTCTCCTTTGACTCCTTTTATGTAAAACTGGAAAGTCTTTCTTTGCATTTTATATTATATTTTGTATTAACACAAAGAAAAATAAGTCTCTGAAAAAGAGAAAGACAGAAGGTGAAAAAGTGTCTAAAACAGTGATGCAGAAAAAGGAAATGAAAACTATGGATGGATATGAATCTATTTTCCTGTCATGCTTTTTTTATATAATTTGAGTTGAGAATGGCGATGTTATGAAGTAACTCCTGCCACAGTTCAGGGGGAAAGTGGGTGGCTCGTTGCATTACTTTATGTCAGCTGCACGGCCTGAAGTCCTATTGGTAGAGCTTACGTTGGGCTAAAGGGACCAATTATTGGTTTTGGGAGGGATCGGGTCAGATATTGATTGAAACAGTAAAATGACATGTTACCTCTGCTTATATGTAAAGAATAAAACTTTAAACAGCTGTTTGACAAACTTCTCTATGATGATGATGACAATCCGTCACCATTTCCCTGCAGATATGAATTAATACAGATATCTGCAGATCACTGGAATAAATGAGTTTTGCAAAGTTTGATGTAGTAGCAGCGTGCTTGAGTCAAAGTAACATTTGTTTTCTCAGTAAAAGTAAATCTACAATAAGTTAAACTGGACTAATAAAAACATACATAACAAGTTGTTTCTTATTTAGAGCAGACTTAATGCGCCCATCTTTGGCTCCACAGCTATATTCTTTGCCTCTGCTAGACCAGTTTTGAATGTTTAATAAGGCAAGGTGTTTTAGCTTCCTTCACCCTCCCTCGACTCTTTACCCATTGAAAGCCTACCAGGACTAACGCTTCACCCTCTTTTCTGAACTGAGCTCTTTGCGTCATATTTCAGGCCTGCTGTTAGAACAAACTTACAAAAAGGTGTGCATCAGAAGGTAGTGAGGCTGGCCTCGGCCTATCTAGCTACCCTATAAAAACTTGGAACCTTTTCAAATGGTTCATGGTTATTGAGTACAGAAGTCTTAAGTACAGAAGAGGTTGTCAAATGTTGTCTCTATGTGGGGAAGAGATAAGGCTAACTTTCTTCTGATTGGCTGCACCTAGCAAATAGATTGTTTGACCAACAGGTGGGTAGGGCACCTCCATGTGACATCCTAATGATCCATGAGAACACAAAACAGGGGGTGGGGGGTGCAAACACAAACACACATTTGTGTTTATTATTTGTTGTTGTTGCACAGGTACTCTGTGTCCATCTCTGTAATCTACAGTATGTGAAACAATCAGATTCATGCCACAGATTCTTCTTGTTGGCTTTGAACATACAGCTTTAATAAAGGAAACTATTTTGGAATCATGTTCATGTAGGAACAAAAATACAAATCAATGAAATAGAAAAGAATTACTGTTGTTAATATGTGCAGAAATAAACGCCCTGGATCCAAAAAATACTTGTGGGAAAATGGAATGCCTTTTAGATAAAAGCAATTACAGTGAGATGTCTTCTGTAATGTGTTGAGATTATGTAACCACCGGAGAAACGCAATCGAACTGCCCATGTCTGGCTCTGTGTGTTTGAGAAAGAGGAAGTAAATCAGAGGGGGTTTTGGGTGGGTGGATGTGCTGACGAATAAAAGATTCTTTAAAGTAGATTTCAAAACCAACTTGAGAGGGACATTACATGAAATCAGTCTGAACATTATGTGTGCGCTGCTCACATTGCAACAGGAGCCGAGGACTTGTGTGTGTATTTGTGCAGTGTGTGTATGACACACTGCACAAATACACCCACGCCGAGTTACAGCACGGAGCTCACATTCGCGTCTTACAGATAAATCTATTGTCATTTATCAGTGAAGTCATCGCAGCGCACGCTTATTAACAAAGTGGAATTTGAACCATCACACCAGGTGAGGAGATGTGTGGCAACACAGTCAATCGTCCCACTGAGTTAAGTGTAGGCCCTGCAGTGACTCACACTACAATATATCCACACTTTGCAAAGCAGAGAGGCTACACGAGGACAACGACGGAGCTCTGAAAACACAGAGCCAAATCTCACCTCCGCAGAGATGCGTCTGTTCCCTCTGTTCCTCAGACAAACACCCGTGGGCGACTGCACCTCATCAGAGGAAGTCCCGGATGCCTGGTCGCTCTCTCCGTCTGACCCCATCTTCAGGTTCTCGTGGACGATATCTGGAGATGAGCGAAGAGAAAAGTTTACAGAGAGCACGGGGGGTTGACAAATGGAGCAGGTCTGTAAAAACAGGGCAGGGCGCAACACCAGATAATGACTTCAACAGGAAAGAAAAACACTCTCTCGGACACTTTTATGACTCCCTCTTTTCTTATCAAGCTACTGGCTGTATCAGACAATATACAAGAGGTAAATATTCTTAATGAGTTTGACTTAGATTTTATTTCAGTGCCACAGGCTTTATGAGACAAAGCCATACATCACGGAGTAATTTACCCACGCCTGAGAAAACTCTACTCTCATTCATACACTATTGCAGCATTTTCATTCCCTCCAGGGGTTTTATTCATATTTTGAATTTGTATCTGGGCTGAAAATCCAAGTTGACAGCAAACTTGGTTTTCAGAGTCGTTATTTTTAGTTATATTTCTTTGCAAAAAGGACAGAAATGCGGCCACAAAAGCGGATAAATTGAAGTGTATCTTTGCATAAAGCAATGATTTCTTTGAGCACATGCGTGATACAGTTCCCTCAACAGAAATGGGTATGACAAGGAATTTAGGCCCAGCAGCAGCTCAACACCTTCCACGTATGGTCACAAAAGAAATCGTTGGCTATTTCTTCATTTCAAGCCAGAAATATAAAAGTCAAATTTTAAATTTGACAGCAGGCAGGTTAGGCGTGACTCACCAAGGCGACTACCATTGCGAGGCATGACCATGAGAGAGCCTAGTCCTCCTCCGATGACGCTCTGAGGCCGTCTGAGCGGTGGCTTTTTAAAAGAGCCTGTGTACTGGTGAAGAAATGAGTGGACACTGTGGGCTGATGGAGGACGGCCGTTCCTCACAATGGGCTCTGCTGGAGAAGAAAGAGTTTGTTGTGTTTTTTTGATGATGACAAGACACAGTATACAAGCACATATCAACAGATGAGAACAAAATACAAAAACCCCAAAACAAAACATTGTAGTCATGGCGCTGAAAGAAAGTGGTATTAATGTGAACAAGACTCATCATGGCCAATATGTGATTAATGCACTTCAAAGCAATCCAATGATAAATTCATCCTGAGGTACTCTGACAATCTTATGTGTCGGATGATTTATCTTGCTGATTGCGTCACTACATAACAGCCAGTCCTTATAAAAACTGGGTGGCGGATGGGTTGTTTTCACCTTTCTAAATGTTATTAAGCTCAAAATTTGCATTATGGGGATCACGACTACTTACTAACAGCTAGATACTGACACAGAGGAGGCACTACCCATCTGCTAGACGGCACCTCTGCTTATTCAAGTCCCTGAATCTTACCCATCAACAGCGTTTTGTGGCATTTAAGTCTTTTTGAGTGGTATTATCTAACAAATATCAGAACACGCTGGATGCTACAGACCATCCAAGAAGTCTACTTTAGTTTTGGTGATGTGCCTCGCTAAGCTATAACACTAGTATTACCAACTAACTTAGCACTTTACCGCTCTCATACTCCTGGTTCTAACAAAAAGAAGACAGTGGCATTATAGAGGGAAGGTCAAGGCTTAAAATTTGGAATTAACCAAGGGGCAACCTCCAGAGATTAAAAATGAAACCCCCGCAAAATGACAAAAATTGCAGTTCCTCTAAGTGCCACTTGAGGCTCCCTCCAAAAGGACATAGTTTTGGTCAATTTGATTACATTTACAGAAAAAAAAATGATAGTTTCAACTTTCATAACAACTCCAGGTTTTATAACTCATCCACCTGGATAACTGAGCATGGCTGCACTGACTGAGGCAGCTGGAGCCACTCAGAGTCTGGTAAGCATCCTCTTCTGTCAGTTATTAAACTGGGCCTCTTCACTGTGTGTGTGCGTGTGCGCGTGTGTGTGTGTTTCCTGCCTTCTGTAGCATTTTAATAGACTGACTGATATTACGGCTTGCTGAGTGGTGCAGACCATTCCAGGTATTTGTGCTTATTGTGACTTCTGTTACTTTATTAGTGCGTTCTTAGCACTTATTTTGTGTCTCTGTGCTGCAGCAGTACAATTCAAGCATACAGCTTGTTAACCAGCCTTGCTACCAATTGTTGATAAATTAGTAGTCCACCCTTTGATTCATCAAAGTAACTTCTAAATCAGAAAGAAATTCTACATGACTGCAGCCAAAACTTTTATATTAAGGCCTCAAAATGTGCCTCTTTGATACTTTCCTTATAATTACCAAACCACTTTGTGTCACCTTCCATCTTTTATATACACACTGTATTGTTAGGCTTTGTATCAAGGTGACCAATAAAAATGAAACTGCTGGGTTGATATACATTAGGTTCTACACTGTAAATTAACAAATTTCTCCCTAAACCCCCCCCAAAAAAACAAAAAAAACAAAAACAAAAAACAGTGAATTATATTGAACCTTAATCTGTTTTGATATTTGAGTATCGCATCTTCCCAATGAACTTCGGGTTACCTAATTGTACACATAGCCAGGAGAACAGCAATGTTTTCTTAATCAGTGTAACCCCTGTACTGTAAATAATCAAAAGTGTATGAAAGTCTGTAAACAAATGCCTGACAGTCTAAGGCAGGGGTGGGGAATTCGGGGGCCGGTGTCCTACAGGTTTTAGATGTGTCCTTGATCCAACACAGCTGATTTAAATGGCTAAATAACCTCCTCAATATGTCCTGAAGTTCTCCAGAGGCCTGGTAATGAACTGATCATTTTATTCAGGTGTGTTGACCCAGGGTGATATCTAAAACGTGCAGGACACTGGCCCTTGAGGCCTGGATTCCCCAACCCTGGTCTAAGGTGTGTGAGTTTGGCTTGTGGAAAGGATCTACCACTGACAATGAACAGCTTTTGTCCAAAAGCACGACTAGAGCTGACAGAGTTGAATGATTTAATATCTGGAAGATCTAGCACCCAGCAAAACACCAAATATGACAATGAGGAGAAAAGAACACCCAGGAGAAGATGAGCAGAAGTCAAAACTCAGACAGAGGCCCATGTATGCAAAAAGAGCAGACAGGACAAGGACAAGACATAAGTCAACAGTTACAGAGGAGATAATTACTTCCCAAGAATAATGATTATTGATTAGATTGTTTGTTTGTTTTTGCAGGGACATAAACTAATCTAACAAAAAACAACTGTCAGGCAGAAAAGTGTTTGTATGTGTTTAGGGCCTGTAATGCAAGGGCTTGGGTTTTACAGTCCACCGCTGTTTGTCATGACCTTGTTTGGTAAAGCCATTAACATCATCAGCCTTTGAACACAGAGTGGATTACCTGGTTTATCAAGAGTAGATCCATTTTGTTTAAAAAAAACAACAAAAAAAACCAGAAACAAAACCCACACAAAAGCAAGTTAATAGTAGGCAAAGTTTTCGTGTATAGAGAAAATTTAGGGAACTAACCAAAGTGCTTTTAGCTAGAGTCAAACGCTCATTGCTAATTTGAGGTGGGTAATGGTCCAGTAAAGTCACACCAAACAAGTGGTTGTATTACGGGTATGTACTCCTGCACGCTCTATCCGTGCTGCACTCTCTCCTACAACAAATTGTTGAGCGTTTATAGACAAGAACGCATCTGAAAACATGGTTAGACCAAAGGAGGGATTCTCCTCTCCAGCACCTGGGAAGGTCTAGGAATACTGCAGAGAATAAGGAGTTGGGGGATTTCATCCTGGCAACAGGACATTGAACCAGATCTTTACCTTCTTGAGGTGTGGGGGAGTTTCCCCAATGTTAAAGTGTTTTATTGACCCACAAAAGGGGCTTGAGGAGGACGGAGTATTGAACTCACTGTTCAACCACAGTGGCAGCTCGTTTCACATAAATCAGACCTGTTTCCAGTCAGACTGCCAGAGCATCCCTTTGTCACCAAATGTGCTCATAATTTTTATGGATTTAATTTTTAGACACAATCATAGGTGGAGGGTTCTGTGGTCAGAGGATTTCATCTTGCTTTTTGATGTGGTTCTGTTAGCTTCACCAAAAGACGACTGCCATCTCGCACTGGGTCGGTTTATAACTGAGTCTGAAGCAGCTGGCATGAGCACCTCCAAGTCTGAGGACAGTTTTCAGTCATAAATGGTGGACTGAACACTTGGGGTCTTGTTCATGACTGAGGGAAGGAGGGAATGGCAAATGGAGATCGCCGGACTGGTGCAGCATCTTCTTCAGTGTTGTTGATGCTGTACTGGTCTGTACAGCAACCGCAACACTAAAGAGAAATGTGCACGTAACAGCAAAGCTGTCGATTTACCCGTCAGTCTACGTTACTAGTCTCACCTATGGTCACAAACTCTGGGAAGTGACGGAAAGAATACAACTGCAGAAACAAGTGTTGGAATCAGCTCTCCCCAAATGATGTTCGGCCTCTTCCTTAACCTGCCAATATACCCTCTGCAATGGTCACATCGCTCACTGCCACGTCGTCATCACACATATGCAGCCATTTATACCCGGCATTACACCGCAAGAACACGCTGCAGTATTCTCCTAAAGGTGTCGCCACCAGGATAATATTGCATCATAAGCGCTGATAAGGAGAAGTCAAAACTAACAAATTTGTAATTTTTGTGTGTGGGGGGAATTTTACATTTTGACATTTTACTTAAATAACAGCAAAATGCTACAGATTGTCCTGATTACAGCTGAGCGAGATTGCTAATGATTCTATTCAACAGTTTCTGAATTACTTTTTAACTGGTCACAACCTCCACATACTTTCTGAGTTGTACATGTCTACTTTTTTAAAGTACCCCCTCTTAAAGTCCCACTCTGGCCAGGAATAACAGTGTAGTCATTACCAGCCTGCATATCATCACCACCAGCCTCAACAATATTAGCTCACCAGTTGTCTGGTTTCCAGTTTCCAGATCCAACAGATTCTCAGTGAATTTTTCTGACGTAAATCCCCATTGCCAAAATTAAGCTTACAAGATTTTAAGCTGCCTTTTTGAGGCCGATTCAGACTGCTGTGGGTGTTCAGGTCTTGTTGGGCTATAAAAACAGATTTTACTACGCCAACACAGTCGCTGAAAATTCGGAAAATGGCATGTTACATATGTATTACAACCATGATTAGCTTTCTTTTTTGTTGTTGTTGGGGGTTTTTTGGCACATCATGACAGACTGACATCATATATGTGATTTAGCAGGCATGTATTATCCCAGCCCTTATACCACCTCTCCCTTATCGCTGGGCAGCTGCTGCTGCCGCTGGCCTCAGTTATGAGTGTTACGTAATCAGATCAGGACCACAATGCTTTCCCCAATCAGAGAGTTCAGATCAAATCTCATCTGGCTACTCCATTCTGTCTCCTCTCTACCCTACTTGCTGTTACACAGGCTGCTAAAATCCCCCACACGCAAGCAGGCACGCACACACACACACACACACACACACACACACACGAATGCATAGCACAGCACACACACACACACCACACACACACCACACACACACACACACACACACACACAGTTCTCTGTCCCCACTCAACAAGCACAGAACACTCTGGCCAAACTTTGTGTTAGTCGCTGCACAAAAACCTCTTTACAAAGCCTAGTTAGTTCTCAGAAGGCGATGGGGGGAGGGGAGGGGCTTTGTGGGAGCTTAGACGATCTGATTGATTGAAAAGGGAAAAGGGGGGGAGAAAGGGTGGAGGGGTGCTGAAAAGAGAAGAAGAGGAGCAAAAAGATAAAAAGAAAATAAAAGTGGGGGGCAGCAAATGGATCAAGATGCTTCGCTGGTTTCACCAAGTCATCCAAGTCGCCGTGGCAATGTCATGGAAACTCTAAAATGTTTCCAGACCATGAGCACCATGGCAACAACTTGCTAGCACACCGAGACGTGCTCCCTGGCTTGCTTGCTCCGTGCAGATTTTGTAAATATCAGAAGAGATAGGCGGCTGTGCCACGGCTTTTATTTGACGTCTAGAAGGCCACAACCTTCAGCAGGATGGAGATGAATGGTAAATAAATAAATATTTAGTGTCTGCCAGCAAGAACGGAGTGTCTTTACAGTAAAAAATAAACTGACAGATTGAGCACAACAATCAATACAGAGCTGGGAAGTGGAAGAAGTCATTCCTGTGAAATTCACATTTATTGTCTGAACAGTCAGTATTAAAGGAGCAGTTCCCCCTAAAATCAAATATGCATAAGGGGTGGTTGTAATATGCAAGAATTGTGGATTTGTGGACTTTTTTGAGTAAATGGGCTGTTTTTGGCAGTTTAGGTAGTTTATATTTACAAGAAGGCAGATATGCCTACCTTTTTTTTTTTTTTTTAAACAGCTTTTGTACAAAAATATGATCTGAACGCAGTGTTGTGCCAAACACATTTGGCTTTTCCAAGATTAGTTATTTAAATTCTATATAGGCTCCTCTTGTTCATGTGACTCTTATCTTATGTTTTTAATTCAGTTATTAAATTACAGGTCTTATATGATTATATGAGTAGACATCCCTACAATTCATTTCAAATCTGAGCAACTTCCACCAACCAGTACCAGCCCCTTTAAAAACTGGCATTCAGAGTCTTGAATGGACATAAAACTTATTCGACAGGTTCGTTGTAGCGAGCAAATTCAGAAAGAAAAGGAAGAAAAGGACCTCAATCATCAGTGTAACATCTTTTTGCTAACGCCAAGCTGAAGCTAAAGATTACACTTTGAGCAGTTTAAACTTTCAGATTCTGGGTCAGCAATAGATAAAAATGTGGATTTGGATTTAGATGAAAGTGCCAAACAAATTAAGTCCATTAAAATTCAGCCACTAAATCCCATTTCAGACACGGAATTCATTATATAAATGTGCTGGAAAATCTGCATGGCAATCTGGTGTTTGAAATAAATCACATCAAACAGACTTTACAGACATTTTGACATTTTGTACATAAATCTTAAGCTGGGTTCCTCCACTTGAATCGCTTTATTTATAAAGTTGTGACAAGCTGTGCTGGTAGTGGCAGTATACTTGATAGACGCGATAAGATTTAAGAGTTTTAGGCCTCACCGTTGTCCTTCAGGCCGTTCTCCTCGATCGTTATCTGCTCGGCCAGCTCTGACAGGGACTCGTCGATGGTGTGACTGCCTCGAAGAGTCTGAGAGAGACGTCGCCGGAACCTTTTCATCTTCTCCACAGAGCTCTCAGGAAGGGGAGGCCTGAAGAAGACAAACCAAACAAAAATGTATACACATTACAGGTGTTACCCACTTACTGCAAGAATAAGGAGAGCTACAGCTCGTTTCAACCACAGAGGAACAAGATCAATATCGCTGAGCTGTTTATCTAAGCTTCGTGGAAATGCAATGTAAACTGCCTGTAATTACAATTAAAACAAAACAAAAAAAACGTCTGGCTGCCATCATGCTTCACAATCCCACATTCAGAAAGAAAATGTCACTAGTTCACCAGGAATCTGACTGGGCGAACAATGAAACGCACTAATCAACAGACGTTAATTATGACTCAGCTCACACTCAGCCACACTGCATTCCTCCTCCTGGGAAAGCATGACAAGTTGGTGAGAGATTCTTACGGCCGAGTTTAGAATACAGTCCCTGGCACACAGGACTGTAAAAGCAAATCCTAAACCGGGGGGATTAGCGGCTGAATGGCACAGGGCTAGCCTGGGCCGCATCGAGTCCACATCACACATTCCAGACACATTTATTGTGTGCGCGAGAGCGACTGATTGTGAGAGCCTATACATGTGAGCGAGAGGGAGAAATGCAGCGAGACAATTTATGGGAGGAAATGAAAAAAAGATTTCAAATCAAGACAGGCAATATTTGAGACTGATTGGCTGGAGGAGATACCAAACAAGCCTCTCCCTGTGACTTCAATGCAGATATCATGACTCCACTGCGTCTGCAGATCAGGACATGTGTGTGTCTGTGATGCTGATGAGTAGAGCCAGACAAGAAAACACATGAGCGCGAACCCTGAGGGCTCGCCTGACTGGCAACTACTCCTTATTGACATCCTTTGTCTTGGAATACAACTAATAACCCATATTCTGTCCAGGGACACAACTTACTCACTTGCCCAGAGCCAAATAGTAGAAAGTAGTCTTTGGAGGACAAAGTGGACTAACATGGCTAAAAACCACAATTGACCTTTAAATGATGATGACTCATCAGTGAGGGACCATGATTCGGACTCGTATGAAGACTTTTGCTTTGTTTTTGTGCACAAACCAAAAGAGGATACAGTTGTTGCAAAGAAGGCATGCAGCTGAAAACTAAGTGTATTAGGAAATCCACCTACAGGGACGGGAAAAAACTGTGAAAAATGACTAACATTATAATGTGAAAGCCCAAGACGATGCCTAAGAATTGCTCGTTTTGTGCAAAAAAAGAAAATAGAAAAGAAAAAAAACTGTAACAATGTGAAATGAAGAAAAGAGGAAATCCTTTCATTTGAGATGCGGGGAGGAAAGAAACTGGAAAAACTGGCAGATCAGGTTGCAAATCAATAATCAACAAGACGACAACAGGTGACAACAGCAGTGTTTGTGTGTTATCCACATAAAAAGAGCAAAAATCTGTCTGTGCACATCTTTTGCTGCTCTGTCCTTTCCTCTGATCTGCTAATAGCTGCCCCTCTGTTAGCTTGGTTCTGCTACAGGTGTCTTCCTCTTATAAAAGAGTTGCTCCTTTCCAACATTGCCAAGTGCTCATTTCAGATGTTTGGGGTTTTCTCTCCAATGTCTTTACTTTCAAAAAGCAGCTCAAGATAGTTTCTGCAAACTGGAGCTAGATAAACAAAACTGAAACTGAACAGCTCAACATCTCCAAGTCGAGTGAAACAGCAGCTGGTTTTAAAAAGTGATTACACACAGAGGGTTACAGGCTCTTAAAGGGGATCCATTTATCTTTTTTTAGCGTCACATTGTTGGTCTTGTTCTGCAAGATAGTAGCTTTAGTTTACATGATTTGCAGTTGCTTAAATCAGCCTTCTTAAGCTTCCTCTAGACAGGAAAGATTTCACAGCATCCAGGAAACCATAGATCATAGAAAGTAAATGACGCTGAGCAATTTCAAGCAACTAAAGTTTTTTCAAATTTGAGGTGAGCAACTAGAAACGGAGGTCATAAGATCTGCTAGCATCAATCAGTTTTAAAGTGATAAGCAGCTTTATTTTTATCCAACACTCCTCTAATTGGCAGAAGACATGACCAGCATATATCCACTTTCACTGACATGTTACAGTATAATTTAAGATTAAAGTATCTCCATGTTAGATCACGGTTCTATTACTATTATTAATATCAACAGTATTCTTGGTAAGTGCACCTTTATATAGGTTCACAGTGGTTGGCTCTTGTGTCAGGATGTTGTTAAAAATAACGAAAAACAAAACATAAACATTACATTTGGTACGGGGTTATACAGTCAATTGCCTGATTTGCTCCAAGGTTAAACGTAATGTCAGAGTGAAGCTCTGGAGAGTCTGACAGAGCGTTTGAAACAAACTGTCACAACAGGTGAGGAAATGCACGTCATTATTACATAACCTCTCCTACCTCAAAGTTAAAGACCAGCACAGAAGCAGCGTGACTGCAAACAACATCCTACCAGGAGCAATTTTATTTAAACTGAAAAGCTTAGCAAATAGCAAAGTTGCAAAGACACAGCTTCTCTTTAATGTCACTGAATGTAACCACAAAGCCCCGCCCAACTGTTTTAACAGTCTATTATGATCACTCGATGGTTAACACAAATTGTTGCATGTCACGGTGCATTGTGTCAGACAATTTGACGTGTAAACCCTTTGAAACCCACAGCAGGCGATGTGTCCGTTCAATGATTAGAGGCATGTGAAAAAACGCATATCATATGAAATTAAGGCTGGCACATAAATGTACCAGTCTTAAACCAAGCATTGAGAACAGTGTGAACCCTGAGCTTTTGACTCACATTGGACTACATCGCACTAATGTGTGATATTCATATTCACAACAATATTTAATTAACAACTCGATGTCAGTGTCCACAAAAAAGCTGAATATTTTAGAGCTCATCAGTGCAGACTTGGATAAAGAAAGCTGGCTGTTTTACCCAAATATGACACACACTGTGGATGTTTTTATGAAATTATTTTGCGCAGCTTTTCTCGTACATATATGATTACTCCCAATTAAAATGCTAAGCAAGGAGCATTGTAATTAATCCAGGAATCAAGATGAGAGAAAGCACGTCAGATCTGCTGTCATAAGAGCTGCACGTCACTCAGTTCAGCCTCATAGCACATCAGCTCCAACGCAGTCTGTCATCTCCGGAACAGCTCACTGCGTTACCCTGAGTTACACACACCCTTCGTGCTAGACGGGAAGCAAAAAAAAATTGCACTCGTAACTCTAATAAAAAGGCCTATTTATCCGTCACAGCTGAAGCATGAGATAAGAAGTGAATTACTCATCGGCGAAAGTCCAAAGAAAATTTACAGCATGTTTTAATCAATTACTTAACCAACAAACAATAATATCAACACAATCAAGATTCTTTAGCGAGTAATGAAACGATTCAGCTGTTTAATCAAGCAGAAATGTGAAATATTTTCTTGCTCAAGCTTCTTTATCACTGCAAATTAAAAAGGGGAGTTGAAAGGGCTTACACAAGTCTTACAGTGGAAGATAATAAACAAATGAAGTCAGCTCAGGCTTCAGACTGCTCTAAAGGCTTTTTTTGTAGTCTTGGTTCAATGATGTCAGGGAGAGTGGTATGGGCAGCCAATCAGAACAAGTTTGTCTTAAAGGGAGGTCCGCCTTAAAGAACAGGCGCTAAATCAGCTTGTTTCAGTTAATGGATGAACTGATGAGACAGTATAAGATGAATAAAGATGATTCTGCCATGTGAAAAGCTACTCTGGTAGAGTCCAAGAACAAAATTATGGAGCTGAAAATATGTTCGCCTTTAAATACCGTCTTTGTCTGAAAAACAAGAAAAAACAAAAAAAATACTTTGGGTTCTCTGAACTTCTCAATCACCAAGGATTTAAGCAGAAAAAAAAAACATAATTCACAGATTATTCAATAACAACAATAACCACAATCTTTTCAGCCCTAATTCTGATATTACTCTAGACAGCCAAAATCCTTTGTTGTGATTACAATCACTGCGATAAGCTCAAATCAGGATTATGTGGCACCAAGTTGGGATAAACTGACAGGCCTCTCACTTTTGGCTTTTGTAGTTGATCTGTCCTCAGTTCCACGGTAATATCCACAATCCGCTCTTAATTTATGAATGTGCTGAATATGAGAGGGATTGGAAGAAGCACATCTCTTAAACAACAAAACCTGCTACTTAGCAGACTATGGATACAAATCACCTTCTGAGGGGTTTGAGTACAAAGTAAATGGCAGCAATAGAATAAAGACGAAGAGGGAGGAGAAGAGGGAAGACTGTCTGCTGCGCACCAGTATCCGCTGGCACATGCTCCTGCTCTGGGATCGAGAGTGGAGCTTTGGACATGATCCCTGGTCTGAGCCTGATCCCTGCTCCCCTAAGTAGGCCGGTCTGAGGTCGCAGCTCTCGATCTGCTGAGAGGTGGCCAGGGAGGAGGAGGGGGACGGGGGGAGCAGGAGGAGGCGGCTGCAAGGGTGGTAGGGGGGTGTGGAACAGAGGGGTGTGCGCTCTGTGCTGATTTGGGATTTGTTGCCACGGCAACCCCCGCTGCTTTTTCCATGTTGAAAATGCAGAGCACCGCAGGAGACTGCTGCATGCTGATTTTCCGATCCCTCTCCCCACACTCCCCCACCCCATCCAAATATCCTACCATAATGTGCCTGAGATGTTACAGACTCTTGACATCTTCACATGTGTGCGAGGCTGTATCTTTGTAGAGGGGGAGAAGAGAGAGTGGGACATTAGATGCTGCAGTGGTGCGACAATACCATTCGCCGCATATGGATTCAGTCCTTTGCGGTCGTAGCTGTGCTGATCATGAGCCACTTACAAAGGTAAGAGCCAGAGTTCCTGCTGTGATAACCCACCAACCCCTACATCAGCAACGTAAGGCAAGCGCTTCACACGAAACCATTACACACACCATGCAGCCACCAACCCTGCCATACGATGACGGCTGTCTGGGCCACAGACACAAACAGGAAACTCCAGGTCACAAACCCTACCTGACCCCTACGGGGTTCAGTAAA